ACAGGTTATTGGGGAGTCAGTACTTCTTTCCGGTTCATTGACCCAGTGGGAAAATGTATAGGGATATTTTTCTAAACAATATTGTATAGTTTTGTAAAATATCCTTTGTATATCTTTGACATTATTTAATGTCTTAAATTCAGATGACCAGATCCACTTCATTACTTTGTGTACTTTATTCACTTTACTGGAGTCTTTACTTGTTTCGTTAATACGTTGTGTTTGTCCCAACAGAAAGAGTCCTTCAGTGTCCAAAAAGCACTACATTTAAACCAATGCATTATTATTATTATAATTGAAATTTGAAATAAATATCAATTAACTATAAGTAAATATCAATTAACTATAAGTAACTTTGTTAATATAACAGGCCACAACCAACATGCTGTCTTCATCTTATTAGAAGATCTCTCATCTTTAGCATAGAGAGGGCTGGTCCTCTCTTTTTTTTGCAAAAAAATTAAAATAAATTAAATATACATTGTGTAAACATTAGTGACAGAACCAAACATTGCTATTTTTTGTGTGGTTTCAAATAAGTACTCGTGGGGCTGGATTTGCGTAAAGCAAATCAGTGAGGGTTGCGTTAAGCAAATCCAGCTCATCTCCTGCTCTTGTGACACTTTACTGGAGCAAGAGTATAGCTTACAGTGTGGTTACTCTATTTAAATGTCACCTTCTTACTACCTTAAACCCTTGATTATTTTAACACGTCAGCTTGAGAGGGCGCCAGGAAGTAGAACAATTTGAAATGGATCAATAAGCAGTCCCCCCATCAATCCATCCATCCATCTTCTTTCCCTTATTTCATGTCTGGGTCAGGGGTTGGCAGTCAGAGCTGCACCCAGTACACAGACATAGCTTTGATCTTTCAGCGGGGGCTTCAGGCAAAGTGGGGTTAAGGGTCTTGCCCAAGGACGCAACGACAGCAGACATCAGTGGGAGTCGGTGGAGAAGGTCTCGTGGTGGGCTCGAACCCACATCCTCCAGGCTCAAAGGCCACTGTCACCCCCAATAAGCAGTCAAAGAAGAAAACTCAAGAAATGAATTCAATAAAATATTTGACGTGTAAATTCCAGGAAACAATTACATTGACTGTATGGATGAGCTTGCATCAACTTCAGCATCAATGAGTTATTTCCATCCTTTTTCAGAATCATTGTGAAATCCTTTGGCATGGATAAAATTAGAAAAATAGAAAAAAAAAGTCATGGCACGCAATGGTATTTTTCAATCATAGCCTTCCGATATGACTTCCTTTGAATAATCTGTGGGGATTGGAAGAAGATTAAATCATGACAGAGATGTCTATACATCCAGCAAATTTGCAAAACATATTGCATGTTATTGTACAAAACAAGTGATTTACAGAAAATAAGAAAATGTTTATTGAATGTTAATTGACATAAAAATGCATTTATGGTGGACATATGTTGAGCCATAGTCCATGCCCTAACATGCAGCAGCCGATGCCATGTTAGGGAGGGACGCAGCTCAACAGGGGATAATGGTATTTAGATATCCCGTAAGCACGCGGATCCTCTCAGTCAGCAACATTAATGGGGCCATGAGGCATCCTGCTCATGTCCTGTGCTTAGGTATGGGGGTATTAGACAGAGTAATGCTTCTATAGTCTGTAGTGGCTTCTCATAGTGCTCTGGGGACAAAATGGGGAGCGCAGGGAAGGTGGTTACCTTCTTCAACAGGAGGCAGAGTCTCTTCCCTAACTACAAAGTAGGAGACCCTGGTTTGAACAGGAGGCCGTCAGAGATTGTTTACCCATTGGCTAAAGAGAGCTGTGTGAAGACCTGGAACTCTCTGCAAGAGCTGAGCAGGGACATCTACGACATCTACGCTGAGTACGAAGAGGAGTATGAAGATGGATATGCTCAAACAAAACAAATCTCACCGTCCAAGAGAAACTACATGATCAACATCAACGTGGGAGGGAAATCCTACCAAATAGCTTACAGGATGGCAGCCAAGTACCCCAAGACTAGAATAGGGAGGCTGGCCACCTACACTGACCACAATATGAAACTTGACCTTTGCGATGACTACATTGTGACCAAAAACGAGTACTTTTTTGACAGAGATCCAGATGTTTTCCACTGCATCTTTAACTTCTACAGGACTGGCGTTTTGTGGATCAAGGATGAGCTATGCCCACGTAACTTTCTGGAAGAGATCAACTACTGGGGTGTGCGAATCAAAAACACCAACCGCTGCTGTCGGATTTCTTTTGAGGAGAGACAGGATGAACTGAACGAACAGCTGAAAATTCAAAGAGAGCTGGAGGCGGAGGTAGAAATTGAGGAGGATGAGGAGCTGTTTCAAGACATGTTCATTGGCCGACAGAGACGAGCCATCTGGAACCTTATGGAGAAGCCATTTTCATCTGTGAAGGCCAAACTCATGGCTGTTGCTTCCAGTCTGTTTGTCCTAATCTCACTTGTGGCCATGACTTTGAATACAGTTGAAGAGATGCAGTACAGGACTCCCAGTGGTCAACTTAGTGGCAAGACCTATTGGGAATATGTAGAGTCCATGTGCATTACGTTTTTCACTATGGAGTATATACTGCGTCTAGTTTCCACCCCAGACCTCAAATCATTCAGCAGAAGTGTTCTCAATACAGTGGACCTTATCGCTATATTACCCACCCATCTCCAAGGCATTCTGGAGTTTTTTGACAGCAGTGGAAACTATGTGAAGCATGAGGCGGACATGCAGGCTGTGGGACAAGTGGGAAAGCTTGGGCAAGTGCTGAGAATAATGAGACTAATGCGTATATTTCGTATTTTAAAACTGGCCAGACACTCCACAGGGCTGAGGGCCTTTGGATTCACTCTTCGCCAGTGTTACCAGCAAGTGGGCTGCCTCTTTCTCTTTATAGCAATGGGAATATTCAGTTTCTCGGCCATGGTTTACACTGTAGAGCACGATATGCCGCAAACAAACTTCACCAGTATACCTCATGCATGGTGGTGGGCAGCGGTAAGTAGATCTTTTTACTGAGACATGAGCTGCATGATAATGATGGAGGATTGAAATATATGGACAGTATGTGTCAGGCAAGCACATTTATCAAACTAATTACACGCACAGAGATCAAAATTGCATTAAAGTATCCAAGCTAGTGTGAACACACAGAGTGTCAGTTTAGCCGTTCCATTACTGCATATTACCTCAGCTTTTAAAAAGTCAAAATATAGTGGTGTTACATTATTGAATTATCAATCAATCATTCACCTACATAGTTGGGAGTAACAACATAATGTATTGACAATATGTTTTTTTGAAATACCTTACGCCTTCTTCTGATAGTATTCAGATTACTTAAAACAAGTATTTAGAATTTTTGTAAGGAATATGTTTCAGATTCACATTTACCAGCCATTTGCAGTTAAATTTGGAATTTGATCAAGCAATATAGTCAGGTTATTACAACAAATTAATGAAAAGGTAATTTTTATTTAAATTCTGTGATGCATTTATACTTGATAATATTATGCAAATGAGCATACAAGTATTCAGAATACTCTGTATTTGTGAGTTTCCCCAACACTGCCTACAAATACAAAGAATAGCACAGTGCATGCATAAGTGACTTGTCCTATGGGGATGTAAAGACTAAAGCAGGTCAAAATTGTGTAGTGGCCATTCCTATAAAACCAGTTACCAGGCCACAGCGGTGCCTATACTTATTCCTGCCTCTAATCCCACAGAAGGAAATTATAATCCTTATAATCAGAGTAATGGGCTCCTGCTGCAGTGCCCGGGCAGCATGCCGTTTTTCCTTGACCCTAAAGATGTGTAGGCCCATGCAAGCTGTTCATGCCCGATATACCACAAATGTATATGTGAAGCACTGTATGGTGCTTCACATATACAAATGGCAGAGACTAAGTATTTGGACAGAACTCTAACCCTGTGTTTGCATATAGCTGCATAAAGTGCCATTGATAGAGGCTGTTAATAACTGAAGCTTTGTTTTATATTTTTGTTTGTTTAGTAGAAGAAAAATACATAAATTATGGGTTCTGGTTAATTGACATAAATAAAACTAATTTATTTTATAATCTAAGACTTGCATACTAATTTGACCACTTTATCTTCTTTAGGTGAGCATCTCCACAGTGGGCTATGGCGACGTGTATCCCGAGACCATACTGGGACGAATCTTTGCTTTCATCTGCATTGCTTTTGGGATCATCCTTAACGGTCTGCCCATCTCAATCCTCTTCAACAAATTCTCTGACTACTACTCCAAGCTCAAGTCCAACCAGTACACAGCCTTTCAGAAGAAACGTGGTAAAATTAGATTTGTTAATAGGACAGTGAAATCAATCAGCAATGTCCTGGGAAACCCACAATAGTGAGATGATCTACACATGAATTAAACTTAATTTTGTATGGCCCTAATTCACAATGGCAGTCATCACGGAGGACTTTATAAAGTTGTTGATTTTCCAACAACAGACCAGAGAATTCAAATACTCGGAAATGCAATAACAAACACATTGAAGCGACTGTTGCATAGGGTTGCAAGATGACCACATCATCACTGTCCTTAGACCCTCATGCATCATCAAGGATCGCCTCAAAAGACCCAGTTGAGAAACCTTGGGGAAGCCAGACTGGATGGAAAGACTGTTGAACCGGACTGAGGTTGTAGATCCAGGACTGAGGCTGTAGATCCAGGACCGAAGAGGCTACGGTGGACGGGATGAAGGTGCAGCTCCATAATCAAGAATTCATGACCACTTCGAAATGACTTATGTTGTATTATTGTAAGGAGAATATATGACACATGTTATCAATAATGTGCTTGCAATAAATTCATTTCATTTCATCAACATGTTTGCGTTTCCATAAAATTATGAATAATAATAATGTGAATAAGTACTCACTTTGCATATTATGCTTGTATATCTTATTTTATATTTGATGCCTTTTTCTAATTAGATAAATTATCATTTGAGTCTAGAACACAGCATTTAATTAATATGTTTACTATTGATCTTTACTGCTTTGAGACAGGTCACGTACAGAGCTTTAAAGTTGCAAAAGCTCTTTGAGCAACGTTAACTTAGACCAAAGCATTAAGGGTCAGTCCATAAAAACAATGCCTTTTCAACCTTGGGAAATTATTTTTATTATTCATTATTATTTATAATAAAAAAAGCATACTGAATTAATCCACTGAATCAGTTATGTTAAAGTAATATTTAATTGGAAACGACCATCTGAACTTCTAATAAACTTCTTAATAAACAACATAAAGATTACAATTCCCTCTGAAATAGATAAATATCTATGTATTCATGAATAAAATTAGAATGGATAGGTCAACTCCAGAGTCAAAGTCACCTGAAAGTAAAAAAAAAATGAAATTGGCCCATTAGCGCCCCCTACAGACTATGTCAACGTTTTGCATGGGGAAAATTATAATCCGTTTTTTAAAAATGTTTGACATTTTGCACGTAATTCTGTTTTGGCCTCTTGTTTCAAATAATCTGAGACGCAAGACTTATTTTTTACCCCGTTGCCATTCTGTGTCTATGGTAAATCGTTAAATCTCTGAAATGTACACCACTTACAAACGTCAAACAAGCCTTGACCGTTTCACTAATTTGGCTGAAATTCGCTCCACATCATCTAAAGACATGTACCGTCAATAGAAGCTCACAGAATCTTAATCAGTCAAACGGTCTGCGTGCGGCAGACTTCCAAATTGTGGTTATTTTCATAGAGAGGTGTGAAGTTTCCATGTTATCCAATAGTGATTCTATATGTATGGACACCCTCACAGATTATACATGTGCTCCTGTTTGCACAGACAAAGTCTGATTTGTATGTCTCCCCAAGTTTTACATTGGGAGCCAATAATGTATTTCTTATAGAGACAAACCATCTTCAATTATGAAGAAAGAGCGCTGCTCAGCTTATTTCCGAGACCTGTGATTTTCTATCATCCATGTTTTTTCCCCCGCCTCTACTCTTCGAAGCGTAGCACACATTTTGTCCACTAGAGGGCGGCAATACATCATCATCGTCATCTCCCATAGTACATAGCGGTAGGAAAGTCACCTCTGCAGCTAAAGGCTAAACTATCACCACGATGGCACCTCCTGTCGCTGTATCGCCTCTTATTAAGGTTTGTCATACACAACAAGACACACTATTGTTTTAGAAATGCTAAAATATTGAATTTATTCTGTGTTCCAAAGTGGCTTACTTGCTTTGTGGACACGGACGTGCTATGCTTAAACTACTAGCTAGCATGCTAACCAACATGTAGCTACGTTGCCAATTCAATGTCCTACACCTACACAATCATAATGTTGCATGGTAAATAGTGTTAACTAAACACATTATGAAACCCAATGCTGTTAGTACATCGTGTGCTTGTATATATGTAGAATTCTGAAGTAAAACGTATGTGAGTAGTTGTCCTTTCATAGGCTATGGGTATAATGCGCCAGTCTTGTTGACATTCTATGTGATCATGAGTAATTATAATATTTAAGAGTAAACGCATTGTCAACGCAACATAATTTTACAGTTTTTCGTTCACATTCATCAGTAATATTCTCTATTGCAGACGGCAAGATACTCTGCTTTGATCGCTGGTATCTTTTATGGCAAGAAGAGATATGGTGAGTGGTGTGGTCTTTGCAAAGCGACTGTATTTGGGCATTCGAACTGCTAATGTTCTGTTTTACAGAAAACCTAAAGCCCATCGCTGCAGAGGAGAAGCGGATAGCGGAGGAAGAGAAGAAGATCCGCGAGGAGCAGGAGCGCATTGCAAAGCAGCTTGCAGAAGGCAAGAAACCCCAACTTTCCTTACGAAGCACCTTCTACTTGTATTTTTTAAATGTTTATGTATATAATACGTCTCTCTTTCTTGCAGCAAGTGAAGATACCATTTTGAAATGAAGATGAGAAATCTTTTTGTGCATTTTCCTCGAATCTTTCAAAGTCGATTATTGTTGGTCGTGAACATCCTTCTCATCCAATAACAACCCTCATGAATGTAATTCGAGTTAAGATGTATAACTTTATGCTCAATTGCTAAATATGTGAACAGAACATTACCCCTGTACATTTGTTTTATGCTGATTTAAGTGTATTTTGACTTGGTCAAATAAAAAAATTAACATAAGATCCATGGCAACCATTGTCTTGTTTGTGGGAAATGTGTGTACTAAAGGAGGCTGGGCGAGGCTAACCCCTGTACATACTGTATGTGTTGGCCAGGTAAAAATAGAGCTACAATAGTACAGTGCTAAAAATATCGTAGATTTACCGGCTGTCTGTATTTGGAGCTGAGCAATCAGGGTTGAATGGGAGGGAAAACTACCTCTCACTATATGCTTAGTTATTGGTACATTAAATGATTAAAGATCCACAACATGGAATTCTCCTTTGCCTTATCAAAGCCAATGTCTTAAATGTTGGTGGCAAAGCACGAAGTTTGGTTAATACATTTTTCACAAATAGAATATAAAATGATGCAGTTTTAGGAATGTTTAAAATATGTTTATCAAGCTTTTTAATTAGCTTTTAAATCACTGCAGCCTTCAAAGTTTATAGTTTTCAAATTTTGATGTATTCAATTGGTACAAAACTTTGGTATAAGACAAAATTAAGATGAGGCTTATGATTGGAAGCCTCATCTGTATTTCTTTGGGGGTAGCAAGTGAATTAAGATTTGAGGGGCTCCAGCCTGAAAAGTGTTACTTTGAACCTCTGTTCAAAAACATGGTTAAATCATTGTGCAAATTGATCATTTCATGTTGTTGATAAACGCAGTACAGTAACGATGCTAAGTTTAATGTGAATCACATAACATTGGTTTAAAAACACGTGTTTACAGTCGTCACGTCTGCCATCGGCGTGTGACTTCAGGCTCAGGCTGCTGTCACCTCAGGGGATCTGCTGTTATGGATCTTATTATCTAGCCAAGAAAACAATTATATAAAGCCCACACTGCTGAATGCATGGGTTCACAGGCTTACGGTAGGGATTTTGTTAACAGGATTACTACTAGATTTACGGTCTGCATTTAGTTTCAAGATGTGAAAATAATCATTGAGCCTGTCCCTGTCTGGTATAAAAGGACTCCTACAGCATCCTCTCACAACATCTCTGACAACTCATAACACCCTACAGACCTCAAACCTCACATCAGGTACGTGGCTTTTAAAGGATACATATATAAATCGTATTTTGCAACTTATTTTGTGATGATAGTGAATGTTCAAAATGTTTTTTTTCAGGATGGACTTTCAACTGTTTTCCCTATTGATGCTCTTCATGGCCTGTGTGGAGCAGAGCCTAGCTTCGTGTGTTGTGGAGAGCTTCACAGTGAAGGAGGACTTTGATCCCAAGAGGGTAAATAATATGATTCGTACAGATAGAGCCACTTGACAAGTCTAAAAAAGATAGACATGTGTTTGACTGTAGACCTGTGCCTCCAGTATGCAGGAAAGTGGTATGCTCTGCAGAAGAAGGACCCAGAGGGGCTCTTCCTCCAGGACAACATCTCAGCTGAATACACTATTGGAGATGACGGTTCCATGGTGGCCTCTTCCAAGGGCAGGGTCACACTTTTTGGGTCAGTATAGATAAAGGACATTGCTACTATAGTCTTGTAGTAAAATGGAATGAGCTGCTCATCTATTTCACCTTGTTTTTAATTTAGGTTTTGGGTTGTGTGTGCTGACATGGCTGCTCAGTACACTGTGCCCGACCCTGGCACTCCTGGCAAAATGTTCATGAACTACCAAGGACTGGCCAGCTACCTGTCCAGTGGAGGTAAGCTCAATTACACACAAAATAAACTAAGACTAAATAGACTGAACACTAACTTCGTAATCCTCCAGGTGACAACTACTGGGTGATTGACACCGACTATGATAACTACGCAATCACGTACGCCTGCCGCACTCTGAAGGATGATGGCTCCTGTGAGGATGGCTATGCCCTAGTGTTCAGCCGCAGCCCCCGTGGTCTTCCCCCCGCCATCCAGAGACTTGTGCGCCAGAAACAGGAGGAGGTTTGCATGGGAGGACAGTTCCAGCCCGTGCTCCAGTCTGGTCAGTATACCACCTATACTAAACATTTCTTACACTAAACTGGACACATTGATATTTTCTGGTTTCATACTGCACTGAACCTGTTATTTTTTGTTAATTACATGTTGATTAGGTCAAAATGTTCGATCCCAAGTGTATATCTTAAAGTAGGATTGTCCAAACTAAGGCCTGTGAGACAAATGCACTGATTTTATGTAGCACTCTGCTTTGATAAAACAAACTGGCCTCTAAAGGGACTTTCACAGTGTCATTCAACCAAATTTAACTCCACTAATAGAGTCAAGCTATACCCTCGCTCTAAAACTCAGAACTTTTGGAATCTGAATATACTGATTCATTTTATATTGTCTCATTTATGGATTTAATATAGCTGTGGCATTAATCAATATGGACATACAATATCTAATTTCAAAGCCCAGAACAGCCCAAATCCAGTCAAAACAGTTTTACAATTCATGTTGTCAGACCCTGGACATGTCTTAACTAAAGTTAGCCTCTTTCCAAAATGTTTTGGCATCTCCGTCTTATGTATGTATGTAATATAGTTGAACTGATAATCCTATTTTCCTTTCAGACTTTACATGATATCTCTGACCTTTTCACCTCTTGTCATTACAGGAGCCTGTTAAATCCATCACCAGACGACACTCAACACCTTACCTCACCCACGTCTAAAAGAAGACTTCATCCTGGATGCAACTGGTTCTATAATCCTATTATGGATCTGCCCTCTGTCCCTGAGATACAAGCACCTGGACCTCCCCAAATTCACTCATCATACATGTTAAGTCGAGATACACACGAACGAAAGATTGATTGTTATGGTTTACATCTGGTTTGAAAGGTAACAATAAAGGTTGTTACTAAAATGTGCTGCTGCTTTTGTCATTATTTGTACATAAGCTAAAACCGTAGGTTTAAAATAGTCACAAAATCAAGTCAATAAAAGAGGTGGCTTAAATGATTTAAATGGCAAATACGCCTATAATGAGGCTTATATCCTTCAATATAATATGTAATTACAATACATTTTTAATAACTAGTACACAAAAATATCAAAAGTGCTTTATTTCTGATCTTCACAGAATGTATTTATTCAGACTATGAAACACATTGTGTACCCTTCCAAGGTATTGATCCAATTATCAGAGTTAAGTCAAATATAAATATGTTTACAATGATCGACCTTCAATGTCATCTGTGTTGTGAATACCTCTCTGTCGGTGAATATGGACCAGGCCTGCCCCAGTAGTCCAGAGCTCGGACTCTATACAGGCCACTCACCTCCTGGTCAACTGAGGAAAAGAAGAGGCCAGATCAAAACATGGAGAATGTACTGTATGCAAACTAGTGACTGTCGGAGGCCAGGAAGTTTTCTTCAAAAAAGAATTCACAATATGGCAGAGAAATTATTGGTATGAAACAAAATACTTTTTGTTATTTTATAGCAGTGTCATCATAGTAAATTGAATGTGTCTTGTTCAAATGTATATTTAAGTAAAATTCTCAAAGTCTTTTTGCAATATTTGAGTATGGACTCACCAGGCGAATGGACATATGAGGTGAAAATTATGTCTTTAACATTTATCCTTTTGAATATATTTCCATCAACACAAAATTCCACTTCAAATGTTTTTACACATCTGGAAGTAATTACGAAAATAATCAATTAATTATTTGATGGAACCTAAATACACAGTTGGATACATACTTGGAGTTCACACAGTGGTCGGACCAAACAATCAAAACCTGGCCTGTAGAAATCTCAATGAAGCGCAACCCATTTACCTACAGGACACCAAAACATTTGAACAAAATAAATTAGTGTGATTTTGTGGAGAATTTGGAGCAACTGGGATTATAGCTGGTTTTCATTTGAATGTTCACCTGATCTGGAGCGACTTTGGGCCGGGCACAGACATGGATAAGTAGAACAGAGGGTACTGGCAGTTTTGCCTTTACGGCCAGTGTATCTCCAGGAGGAACTGGCCAGGGTCCTTCGACAACAGCATCCTGAAGGAATAAAATACATGTGTATACAATGATGTATTTTAAAGTACATTATTAGGAGTTGAAGCACTGTGGACGTTACCTGTGATCCTCTGAGCTTTTTAAAGTCCTCAGGTGTGGGGAAGTCCTGGCTGCCCATGCTTTTCCAAAGTTGATATGAATTGGTGCGATTATTGTCCATGTAAAATGTGACATATACAAGACCTGAACACCGAAAATACATGTTTGGTATAATATGGGAAATAATAATCATAATAATAATAATGCATCGGTGGTATATAGCGCTTTTTGGACACTTCAATATTCATTCACTCCATACACGCTGGTGATAAACTACAACTGTAGTCACGTGAGTATGAACTCACATGACTCAATGTTTCAAGTAAACTCTACAATTTATAATAACAATGTTCAGCAGTCTCCAGAACAAGTAAGAACAAGAACACTTTATGGAGAAACAAGTTGATAAAGGGTTTTACTACTGTTTCAAGCATAACGTCTTTCTTTCGTCTATTATAAATCCATCCATCCATTTTCTACCCTTTAATCCATTTCTGGGTCAGGGGGGTGGCAATCAGAGATGCCACCCAAGTCTCATAGCACCAGCCCCTCACTGACCCTCTGCAGGTGGTGATCTTCCAGCGGGGGCTTTGGGCAAAGTGGGGTTAAGTGTCTTGCCCAAGGACACAACGACAGCAGTCATCAGTGGGAGTCGGTTGAGAAGGTGTAGAGGTGGGAATTGAACCCACACACAACCTTCTGACCTGAAGGCCAATGCTCTACCAACTGAGCTACTGTCGCCCCCTATTATAAATCCACAGGGAAAATTACTTGGACAAAAGATTGTTTTGTTTATAATTACTATGAAACAGACAAATGATAAGATAAAATAAAACGTAAGTAGGAATATACAAATGTAATATATTCCAAACATTACACTAATGATAATGGGTTCCTTTTGGTGTAAACCCCAGTTTTATGATGTGATAATTCTAATGTTTTATTGCATTTGGTATATATTAGGCCTATACCTTTATTTGTGACGTGAAGCACTTTGGAATGCCTTGTGTTTGAATTGTCCTTTATTAATACAGTGACAAACCAATATAATACATGTAATAAAACCTTTAAATTACTGTTACAGACCTTGTAGTTTTGGCAGTGAGTTCAGCTCCACAGTTACTTGGTCGGAGCTGGTCGATGTCTGGTTGTCATCGCTGTTATAAAGCAGGACTGCGGTTTGCCAGCTGTCAGAGCTCCAGGACACTGAAGGACTATGGGAGCTGGCTATAACCCCCAGTGTTTGAGAGGGGGTCACAAGTTGAGACATAACCTCAGTGTCTCCTGAAAGAAAATATTGTCATTGCTTTAAAAAGTTAACATTTCCAGTCAGAAGTATTTTTGTATTCATTTATTTCAAACATGTATACAGACACAATGTTTACTTCACATGAATTCTGTCCACATGTTTGAAAAGGAGTGGGTGAAAGTAAAAACGTATAGGTAAGTAGGGGGTTTTATACTTTCTATCTTAAAGTCTATCTTGCCAGTGTGGAATTGAATTGAGTGACTTTACTAAGCTAAGTTACAAGTTATGTCTGCAGAGAGGAGAGTCGACCAATGTAAGAATTCAGATTTTTGAGCAGGAGCAACTTTCCCTAATAATGAAGTACGGTAAACGTTTTACATCATACTGAGGTACATAGAGAGGTGATCAGAAAAGTTGTGCAATGCAGCTTTAAAACAAAAAAACAACAATACAAAAGAATAGTTACCTAGCAACGCCAGAAGCCCCATCACAGTCAGAACGGGTTTCCGGATCATCTGCACATGAGCTGGCCTCGTGTTGTTGACTTGGAAGCGTGCGGTCAGAGTGCGCTGAGTGAACTGATGCGGGTGGTAACTTAGGAAGGCGTTGTCGTTACTAAGGAGAGTGTAGTTTATCGTGTTGTTTGGATTTGACATCAATAGGTGTTGGTGCTGTTTTATAACCTAAGGGACACAAGACAACTATTAAGAAATTTCACCAGTATTGAGCCGATTTGTTGCCGGGTCGCAGAATATGACGATTATATCAATTAAAATGTCATTATATTTGAATGAAGATGCAGTGTTAATAATAAATTCACTCACATGTTTGCGGAATAAAATATAAAAACCAGGACACTATAGTTTACTGCGCCCCAAAATAAATTAACTTGATAGATATTGAACAATATCTTATGTGGACAAAAAGCATATTGCCTCATCCCTATTGAGCAAGATCATAAATGCAAAACGAATATTTGTGAATCTTGATAATACATCTAATAATATGTATAAGAATCTAATACATATCATTACTCACTTCATAGCTGAAGCTGTAAACATAATTCCCACTGTACCTTGACCACCATCGCAGCGTAGGTCACATCTGCCCTCCACTCCTGAGGTCTGGACCATCCCACCAGTGGATCAGCCTCGTCGTTGTAGATTGGCAAATTTTGAAATTTAGGAAAGCGCTCATGTATCTCTCCTACTGTCTGGATCTCCTGTTGCATGATGGGAAGAGAAAATCCTCCCCCCTAAATGCAGAAAGGGTTAACAACCAAATATGATGTATGTGTTGTTCCTTTAGCTATGAGCCTGTCCAATAGATCTGTCTGAGTTGAACACGTGCACAATTGTTAGATACTCAGTTTTATACGTAGATCTGATATCTCCTATGTGTTTCTTCAGCTGAACACTTATCTACGGATCTATCTATAAGCCCTTTACATCTACAGATGACAGCAAACATCGAAATGTATGTCCTAATTTTTGTTTGACCCAATAAATGTATATGTCGAACTTGATTTGTATTTTTAAGGCAGTTGTTTTGTTTGTATTATGTTTGCATTCATGAGTAAGAAGAAGAAAAAAAGAACAAAGTACAGCTACACAAATCCAACCAAAAAAACGAATTTTAGTCATGTGATAAATCAAGATAGATATGCTGTTTTCTATAAAAGATAAACAATATCTAGTATTGTCCTTACCTTTTTGTGCAGAGCAATATAGTCAAGCCGGACCCCTCTCTCGCCTGTGAAAAAGTTTGTGCCGTTATGACAGTGTTGCAGCATCGCCCAGCAGTAAGGGGAGTGAGGAGGGGTGTGGCAGGAGTCTCCTGGACCTCCGAATCTGAGAAGGGGACTGGCAGCTCGCAGACCCTCTGAACAGGCATCATAGTAGTTTAGGAAACCTAGAGAGAGCTTGGTTAGAAATATGTGTGCAATTAGCACCTCACTGTCACTTTACTGGCTCCCTGTGTCCCAGAGCCTCATGCCACTTGTGAGGATTAGAGTGTGAGGATTAGATAGCAATATGGCCTATGTGCAGGACAACTGCAAGACTATACAAGGACTCTGCTGGTGTATCCATGTTATGACTATGATTTGCTATGCTCTGTGTGACACGTATGTCTTTCCATGTGTGACGTAACAACGACTATATAAACTGTGTACTGCCTTTATTCTGTGTGAAAGAACGGAGAGAAAGAAACATCAGAAACCACTGGAACTTGAGAGAAACCAAAACAAACTTCCAGAGTTGGGCGCACCACGACCCGTCTCTGTCTGGTTCATTCCTGACACGCTAATGTACAGATGTAAACCTACTGCTGCTAATGTACAGATGTAAACCTACTGCTGCTAATGTACAGATGTAAACATACTGCTGCTAATGTACAGATGTAAACATACTGCTGCTAATGTACAGATGCTAACATATAACCACATACTGCTTGCACTAGAATACACAGTACTTTATACTTGCCTCTTATGTATGCCAAATGTAACATTTATTATGTAACATTACTATTATGTTCAAGATAGGGATTTTATACTTGTTCTTTTATGCCAGAGCTAGAGATTTGGTATATTACTTTTATTAGTATAGCTATAGTTCACTTATCTTGTGCTGTGTGCTCCTCAAATCCTACTGTTCTAGAACTTGTGATGCAACACTGATATCTCCTCACTGTGGGACGAATAAAAGATCTCTTAATGGGCGGCACGGTGGCTGAGTGGATAGCACTCTTGCCTCTTAGCAAGAAGGTCCTGGGTTCGAATCCCGGACCAGGGCCTTTCTGAGTGGAGTTTGCATGTTCTCCCCGTGTCTGCGTAGGTTTCCTCCGGGTACTCCGGTGTCCCCTACCACTAAAAATATGTCCAATAGTTCTGGCATGCGCTTCCTGTACTGGCGACCCCGCTCCCATCTCGGTGTGGAGTGAGAGACAAATGCCCAAAAATTAACAATTGTAAACCGCTTTGAGACTCAGATCTGCAGTGAAAAGGTGGTATATAAATAAAAAAAAAAACGTCTTAATCTTAATCGTATAAAAATGGAAATTATTGGTATGACTAACTTTTGAATAGCGCTGTTGCCATTTCTGAACATAGCTGCTGAGTAAGGAGGTGGGACATTTAAGGACCTTATTGGACATTCACCTTCTATGGACCAATGGCTCCTATGCGTTTGTTACTATTGCATTTCCTGCGTTTCGAAAGTTTATAGCTATGTTGTTGAGGAATTGCCAGTGACAACTGCTCAACTCTTTTAAATCAACTGATAAAAGGACTTGCCTTGAATAGATATTGTGAGATTATCAAAGTCATGATTATTGGGCTCATTCCATGTTTCAAAGTTCCACTGAGAGACAACTCCAAGGCCATACTTGTCTGCAGATAAATGCAAAATAGGTTGTGAACTGGACAAAAATATGCATAGAAGAGTACCATAACCCACTCACCTATATATCTCTTGGCAATTTGATAAATGAGGTTCCGCCATTCAAACACTTGGGACTTGTCTTCAAAGTCAGTAAAGAAGTTTAAAACACTACCCATTAATTCAAAACCTGTAACACCAAATGAAACACTGGTTATTTTAGAAACAAGAATACATGTTTTATTGTTGTCTTTCCTCTACCTGGTTGGAGCCCATTGGTCCATAACAGATCAATCAGCTGATCAAGTTTAGTGAAGTTATAGTGGACCGCTCCTTCTATTCGTCTGACACAAAACAAATTAAAAAGTTTTTTTTTTTTTAAATGTATAATGTATAATATTATATATATATATAAATTAATATATTGTGATATGGATGGTGTTACGAAATTGAAAGTTCTTGTCTTGCGATCATTAGAACATGGTGCTTAACTTTTATTACCAAACCCTCATGTGAATCTGGGGTACTCAACTTTCAAATCAATTCCATTCTCTCAGAACAGTTTGTATCACTAGCGGTAAGATTTTTCTTGTTTTAGCCTTGAAAACAAAGAGGACCACTATCAATCAGCATTACTCAAACTGTACTTACAGAATCATTTCAGCCAAATATCCAAATAGTGACAGTGCTCTTTCTTTTGAGCATGCAAAAAATAACGTTATTAATGTTTTCTAGAAAGATAATGACAGCATGTTGCAGTATGATTTGTTCAAAAAATGTTACTTTTACAATAATTTTTGTTAGCAAAAAAAAGTGCATTATTTATGAGAAAAAAGTTAGATACCCCTGCTACTATGGTGCAAAGGGTGTACAGAGGGGTTTTGTAATAGCATCAGCGTGTGTTTGTCTAGTTAGAACTGATTGACCTGTAATATGGTGTGCAGATGTGAATAAATGGTAGGAAGTCCAGATTTAAATTCTGTGATGTTCCGGTGTGTTGGCGGGAGTTCTGCGAGTGTACGTTCTAGTTGATATGTAATCCACATTATTTCTTACTCGGCTGTGATGAGCTCCAGCATCCAGTGAATGCGGACTTGTTTTAAGCCTCCATGGGGCACGGAGCCCACAAAGGCCAGGTTGAGGCGCTGGTCCACACTCAGATCATACTGGTCTGCGCGTGCGTGAGGGAGCGGAGGACTGCGGGAGAGGACACACATTACATCTAGAATTGGACTAATCTAAACTTATGCTGTGTGAGCCATATTTTCAACTATTCACCTCCTGCCCTAAAATATCACAGCTAACTATACCTTACCAGAAACCTGTACTTCTCCAAAAATGCTTGAGCTCTCCGACTGGTTTACTGACGTCAACTCTGATAACTGAGGCGTCTGCAATGTGACTAAGAAACAAAAGCAAAGTCAAGAATTTCAAAGACATGCCAGACAACGCCCGCGGTTGTTCGAAAGACGTGGGGAAATATCTTCTTCTTCTTCTTCTTCTATTGAGGTTTATTGGCGGTTGGCAAACAACCTTGAGGTGCATTACCGCCACCTTCCGAAATGGAGTGTGGGCCAGGACGGCCCCTTCAGTCCTTCAGTCTTCTATATTCTAAAGAATAACCCTGCGCTTCGAAGGAAACGCAAAACTACTCTAACCCCCCCTACCGAACTACACCCACTCAATACTTCTTTTAAGGAAAATGTTCTGTTGTGCCCATTCACATAGATCTTAAGCAACTCTCTTGGTCTTCTGTATCTTACACATTCCATAAGGGACATGCTCAACAGTTTCTCTGCCTCCACAGTGCTCACATTGTCCAGTCGGATGTTTTCCCATTAAACTTAATGTACCGTTCAAGTAGGTATGTCCTAATTTCAGTCGTGTTATCACGTCTTCCTCTCTCCCGGCTGAATTCTCCTCCTATTACCTCTTGTCCCACTTGATGTTGCACATTAAAATAAAACCGTCCTTTATCCTCCTCCTCCCAGCTTCTCTGCCACATCTCTTTAATTCTAACTTTGATAAGACTTTTCACTTCTGCCTTGCTTATTCTAACAGGGAAATCCAGAGCCCCACTCCTTGCGCCCTTTTTAGCGTATCTGTCCGCCATCTCATTCCCTCTTACCCCTATATGCGCTGGTACCCATAATAACACCACTTGTTTCCCTGCTCTCTTTAACCTTTGCATTATTAGTGCTATCTCAAAAACTAAATCCTGTCTCGATTCTGACCGTGGGGAAATATAAATGCTGCTCCTTGGTTTAAATGGCAGAAAAGTAACTTCGCTCAGAACCAGAAGTCAGGTGACGCCGATGACGTAAAACACACGCGACCATATTGCCAAATCCAGCAGAAAACACAGGGAATTATTTTATCAGTTGTTTGTCCGTCTCCATTCACATTGCCATGACAGCCGGGCTAATGCTGAATGAATGTTTTGATTCATGTTTTTTTATTATTATTATTTGGACATTTGAGATAAAAAAACAAAAACAAAATTAAAGCAATGTAATTATACATAGTTTATGCAAAATACATAAGCAATTGATGTCCAAAATAGGAGTGGGAAGAATGGATGTTGGAACGTATTTCTTCAGCGTATCAACATCAGGGTTTGCTCAAGAGGATATCACCTTTCAATTTTATTTATTCCCTATTTTTTTAGACAAACATGTAAAAGTCCCACATCAAAAAGAAACTAACATTATTTTAATTGGGGTACATGTGGTCTTAAATGATTATTTTTACAATTAAGCTATGTATGCAAAAAATGCAAAAATGCAAAAAAACGTCTTGACCTTCGTCTTTTACCATTTTTAGAGCAATCTGTCATAGAATGTGATAACATGCAATAATTACAAAAAGACATAGCCCGGAATCGTACCCGGGTTCCTGCATCGTAAGCGCAGAGATTTGACCACTAGACCTCCGATTCACACAATTGGACTCGTTGTGAAGAATGGAGTCAAATTAGCAAATTCTGCATCACACGTAAACTTTTATCAGCTGTCTCAATTGTTCAAAGGCGTCCCGATATAAATCCTCGTTTTAGTCGTTGTTTTGTCATTAATGATTTGAGAGTCATAACAAGACCTTTTTTAGTTCTGCGCCACATGTGATTTTACTTTTGAGATTAGTGAGCCGCACGGAGTTCTGGCAACCCGATCACGGACTTACATGACACTTCCTGATTGGCGAAACGGCGGAGGGTAGGACATCAAAATCAAAACAATAACAACTTTTACGGGTCGTAAAACTAATTTTGATATTCAAATATCTCGGATGAACTACTGTTATCAGTTAAAGATGTGTTTGAAAAGAACATGATTTATTAATGCCTTTTGAAATATTCGGGTCATTTAATGATGACTTGACATGCAAATATTACATATTGCTCCTTTAACCTATGGGTGCAAAGGGCAATAAACGAAACATCTATGGCTTTAGTATAGTCAGGAGCCGACATTTTTACAATCAGAGCATTGTAATAATAGGGCTAAAAAAAAACATTGAACGTCACCATTCTTCGCGTGGAAATATATTTTAGTTTCACATAGATTTTTCCTTGAAGATTAAGAACGACAAAACGCATGTGTTAATGGAACATTTATTATTTAAAAAAATGGGGAATAGTCAAGAAGGCATGAAAGACAATTCTGATGTAATTTACAGTCAAACTTAGTGATATTGTTAAACAGTAAGTTATACACATTTACACAACCTGTACAAATATCTTCCTTACTTGCAAATATGCTAATTTAATAACTTAAATAGTTTTCTATGTAAAAGTGCAAATCCTTACTTTTCTGTTACCATGGTCTTGGTTACAAATGCATCAAAAGTAACTTCCACATTTTGATTGTTTCATCTCTATTCTTGTCATTACTTCCTGCATACATATGTAATGCTGAGAGACCAAGCTTATAACTAAAACAACTTAAAATAGTATTATGAAATGTTCAGTCATAATTTCATCAGTATATCTTTTAAATAGTCAGCAAGTCTTTTAAATAGTGTTAGGTCTTGAGTGACCCACAACAGGACTCTCCCTCATTTCATAGTAAAACCAGAGAGTTGGTGATTTTCTACACGACTCATGGAAGTGGCATGGGTATAGAACTGCCAAACAAGGTTTGTACAAGCACCCTTCTGTTTGCTGAGGCAGCGAGAGGGTACTATAATAACTAACCCATGTGCGTTACTGGGCCAAGCATGCGTTTTCATCAACATGCAGCCTATGCAAAAAAGAGAAAAACAGACTTGTTTTCACCAAAAGCAGTATAATGCAGTGCATTTCCTTCCAAAGCACTGGCTACCTTGAATTCTACTGGATATGACAGATAGTATTTAAATAAAGTTCTTAGGCATTTGCAATATAAGTATGAAATTAACAAGCACGAGTCCATGTGTTACCATGTCAACTATGACTTTTGCTCAGCTCCGGCTGCAGACTGAGCAGTACTGTCAGGCTTAAGGATCTGGTATGTGATGAGGTACTCTGGGAAGGCCTGAAACAAAAACAGAGTTACAAATGTAAAGCTAAGGGAGTAAACATTAGTGACACGGGAAGGATCTAATACTGATGGGGTAAGGATCTAATACTAATGAGGTAAAGATTAGTGACATGTGTAGGTTTACCTGCTCCCCTCTGTAGATAACATACTCCGCATATGCCAACCCATTGACACTGGGCCGCCCAATCACCGAGTGGTGCCCCGGAGGAGCGTGGGCCATCTTCATGGCACTAAACTGTAGGAAAGACTTCCCCAGGGTGACACGACAGAACAGCATTTGCCTGAGAGTACAGATGGAGGTCATGAAAACAGTCCAATGTAATAAAGTACAAAAGAAAGTGGAATTCAGGCTTACCTGTGACACACATAACAAGACCTGTCCTTGTGAGTCGGGCAGCCAGTGCCTCCACCAATCCCATACACATACTGATTACTCTTTGAGGAGTTCTCTGCAAAGTAGATTCCTGCACCAAACATCCCTCCAATGTAGGCGTGCCTTTCATCAAAACCTTTGTGGATGATAGCATTTATAAAGGGAGAACCTAAAAGACAAGAGTTTAAACGTGAAAAGACAAACAGTTTTCTAGCAAGTGTTCACACAGATCAGAAGAACACTAGAAAAGTACCATGAAAGAGCATTCGCTCATTGTGGTGATTGTGGTTTTCATCAGATATTTCCTTTTGTCGGTGTGCATAACGTTCTCTTAGCTTTTTGTTAACAACTTTCTGGATCTGTGGGATAAAATGCATGCCATTAAAAAATATGGTCCATGTGAGTCAGAATTAGGAAGCTTCTATAAAACCGAGTTTAACCTTGATGATGTTGTATTTGCTGAACACACCACCAGCATTTCCCCCATCTCTGTGCTCTCTGATAGTGCTCTGCATCTAAAAAGCCAAAATGCTTAAACTCTAATCCTGCAAAAAATAAATAAAATCCTGTGTCTTACTTCTTCCTCCACAGACTGATATTCTTTGTCATCTGAAGCAAGGTCTATCAGGATTGTGCCTTGGTTTGCACAATGGAATGTCAGATACGGATTTGATCCTGGACATAGAATACAGAAAAAAAGTCTTGAATTGCTCCACAGAGGTGAACATTTTAAAATGTATGCCAACAATGGGAATCATAGACACAAAAAAACTGCTGGCTTTTTCAGACACAACATTGTTTCTCACCTGGCTGGCCTCCAAGCAGCCTCTCTACACCTTTGATGAGCTTGTGTCGGTGGCCGTAAGCATTAATACCAATCTCTTTCAGTTCCTCGTGGCCCATGTCTGCTAGTACATCTAGGCTGATCTGTAAAAGAAACAAACGGTAACAATCACACATTTATTTAGCAAACAAACATTTTTCCTTTAATACTGACCTGTTCTCTTTCAAATATATCTCTCAAATGCTCCAAGCCAAGACTCTTCAAGAATTGAGAAATGTTCATGTCCAGCATGGTCACTAGATGACAGAGGGGTAAAGAAAAAACAAAACAAAAACGATCAACACTTTGATTTTATAAATAAGACAGAATGTACAACCACAACAACAGAAAGAAGAACTGTATACATTTAAAGAGGACAGCCCTGCTATCAGAGGAGTCCAGGCCCAAGAGGAGAGGAGCCTATATTGATGGTAGAGGAAACAGAAACCATCCAGACAGAAAGGCCCAGTGCCACCTCAGGATTCAAACTCAGGACTTTTTTACTATGGAGCAAAAGCTCTAACCACAAGTAAATAATAGCATGAAGTTAAAGAGTTTAGTATTTTTTGTCAAACCAAATTGAACTGTAGGCTTTCAGACTCAAACACCTAACTCGAACAGTTTCTGCATATACTGTACAATGTTTAAAAATCCTTACTCTCTCCTTCTTTGCGGTCTGCAGAGGCGCCATCAGCTACTCCACTCGCTCCAGCAGCAGCAGCAAGCTCAGTAAGTGGCCCAGCCAGGTTGTCAATACTGCTGGCAGCTGAGAGGCAGGATGGCGTGGAGGCGGGAGAGATGACCGATGCACTGACCACTGTGGCCTGGGGCTTGAAACAGCTGGGCAGGGCATCAGGAGGCATGGCATCCATCAAAAGGGCTCGAATGTCATCAGCCTACAGAAAAGACCAAACTTACGAACAAGAACAAGCTTGCTATGTATTGTCAATAGAAGTAAAACATTTTTCAAAATGGACTTATTTTTCAGACTATAAGCCACTGCTTTTTTCCTGCATTTTGAAGGCTGCGGCTTAATTATTATTTTTCTGTGGCACCAAAACCATTTTGCAGTAGACCAACAGAATTGAGTAGCTCACAGAGGGCCAATTATATAGTAAGATTTGTCAATAAAGCAGATTAAATAAAGTAATAGTTTTTGGTCCTTTGTATAGACATTAAGAGTGAACAGTATACAATGTGTGATTGGTGCAGCTTATAATCCTGTGCGGCTTGTAAAAGTACAAAATTCATTTTAATTCTAAAAATTGGAGCCTGCTGCTTATAAATTGTATTTTCCGCTTATAGTCCGGTAATTATTTTCATAAGAAACAAGTCTTACAGTGGCCAGGTCTAGTGCAGTTTGGCCCTCTTGGTTTTTCATAGTAGGGTCAGCACCATGAGCCAGAAGCAGAGCGCAGAGTTGGGTACGACCCTTCTGGGCCGCCTCATGTAAGGGGGTGAATGCCCATTTGTCTGTGGCGTTCACACATGTGTTGTATTTGATCAGTAGAGCTGCAATATCTACATGCTGTAGAGTGGAAGGGAGGAGGTTAGAGTAAAGTAATGAAGCCAAAAAAGGAGGAAATTCAATGTTTAAGAAACTGACCCCATATGAAGCAGCATTGTGAAGTGGGATAAGTCCTCCTTTGTCCTGGGCATTGACATCGGCCCCATGCTCCAGAAGATACTCTGCCACCTCCAGGTTGTTGTAGCCAGCTATAGACCGGGTGAAATATTTCTTAATTTTGCTACAAATGAACTAGCCATTTAAAACTATAAAAGCAAACCATTACCTGCCAGATGCAGCGGTGTTGAGTTGCGCCCTTGGGTATCTCTGCAGTTAATATTTTCAGGTGAGCAGAGTTTCTGAACTCGAGCCAAACAGCCTTTCTTTGCAGCATCAAGGAGTGCTGCATCGCCCCTAAGCAGGTCCTGAATGTCTGTGTCACCATCTTTCACCATGTCCAGAGGCATGTTGCCATCGCGGTTCTTCTTTGATGGATCTGCTCCATGCTGAAAGTAAAGACTTTAGTCATGAGTCATTATGAAGATGATGCTTTAAAAGAAGGATCATCATCATTGATCGTTTGGTACGCTGCCCAAAACTTTGCTATACCAAAGATCAGTGTTGGGCACGTTACTTTGAAAAAGTAATTAGTTATAGTTACTAGTTACTTCTCCCAAAAAGTAACTGAGTTACTAACGGAGTTACTCCACTATAAAAGTAACTAGTTACCAGTAAAAGTAACTATTGCGTTACTTTTTCGTTTTGTTCTGGAACATAATGTGCACCCGACGTGCGCATTTTTACCTTTAACAGTGCCAATATTTCCATCTAGAAAAGGCTGTTTTGCTTTTGCTTTGTTTTGTTTTAAAGCCCGCCACTGTGAATGTGGAAACACCGGTGACGAGCGGTGAGGCTGGTGAAGCACTGACTTCAGTCCAATCAGATGAACATATACATCATATAAATCAAGTGGACAATTTGTTTGGCTACAGCAAAATATGTTTTATGCCCGCATTGTTTGTTCATACAAAACGCAAAACTATGAGTTATGGGTCTTACCTTATAGCTATACCTTATAAATGACCTGCACAGTCCACTTCGGTTCAGACCAGTTCCTTGTTTAAATCCAGTGAATGGTTTGAGCGTAGATATGTAATCCTCCATTTGGAAATGAGTCCAATGAGTTTTAAAAAGTAAAACAAAACGCGTGTGTCCTCCGTAAACTCCTCTGTTTTGCTGCAGCCGGCTGCATCCAATTTCTAAAATCAACCGTCTTACACTTCACCTCTCTTTCTTATCATTCCTATAGTAATTGCAAAATTACCCTATGTGCATTTTAGATTATGTAAAAATGTGTTATATGTATGTTAGCCAAACCTGTTGCTGTCCTTAGCAGATAAACCAGGAAGAGCAAGGAGCTTATCGATGGAATTGTATGCAGCCGACTTCTGAGCTCACATGCGCTCCTCGGCGGCTGGCCTCACGGTGATACAAGCTGTGGTTGAGCGCGATTAAGACCCATATTTGTTTCAAAAACACAATTTATGACCATCCTCTCAACTGTAGACATGTAGATTGTAGAGGAAATATGTTTTACATCAGCCAATAATTCCTGAGAGGTTTTCTCATCCTCCCTTCTCTCATGACAACACGTTCATTGTGCGTCTTGAGTAACGCGCAGTAACGGGATGTCGGAAATGATAACGGCGTTATAGTTACTGTCAAAGTAATTAGTTAGATTACTCGTTACTGAAAAAAGTAACGCCGTTATTCCCATCACAGCCAAAGATACATCCATGTTATTTCCTCCATTATAAAAGTTATATTCTTACTTTGAGCAAGAGCTTGCAGATCTCATATTTGCCCTTTGCAGCAGCCTCATGAAGCGGGGTAAATTTCCACAAATCTGCTACATTCACTGAGGCGCCATGTCTGACCAGCAGCTCAGCAACCTCATAGTGACCGTAGGAGCACGCGTTATGAAGAGGAACAAGACCACTGTTAAAAAAAAACATATTTACTTTATAATACAAACAATTATAACCCTAACCCAATGTTAAAACAGGCAAGTGCTTACCCCTTGTCTTTGGCATGAACATCAGCTCCATGGTGGAGCAGGTATTCAACGACAGCCACTCGATTGTAACCAGCAGCAAAGTGCAGAGGAGTGGAGTGACGTCCCTCCAAGTCTCTGCAGTTCACATTTTGAGGCGTGCACAATTGCTACAGAGGACATCATTCAATATAAGAAACAAAACACCAAATAGCAAACACCATAACAACATTGTGCAGTACAATACCTGCACTGTTTCCAAGTCTCCAGCTTTTGCAGCTTCAAGAAACCTGTAGTCGATGTCAGAATTTCGCGTAGGAACGTTTTCTGCAAAGCAAACATTAATCATTAAAGCTGGAGTAAGTTTCACCTAACTTGGTTCATTTACTGGTTTTCACATCTTTAGATCACCCTTTTCAGTGAAAAAAAAAAAAAAAAAAAAACAGTACTAGGGCTCACACAGCTCTCAATATGTAAAAGATAAAATATATTCTAAGACAGACAGCATTTCATGGTCGAACTTGTTGCTAAGATGCTAATTAAACCATAAGTATTGATATACGGACTGAACCGTTTTGACAGCAGCAAACATGCAACAAGCAGATTGTTATTTTTCAAGAGTGTGTCAAATAATTAGCGTCACAAAATATGACAAAATATGACAAAATATAATCACAGTACACAGTAAGAAACATGTACTGGTGGTAACGTGTTTGCGTAAAAGCAGCAGTTACCGTTTAGTATTTGTTGCACTGCCTCGTTGCCCATTTGTGCAGCTGTGAAGCCCTGAAGGGACACGATGGAAGGGTCAGCTCCAAAACTCAGCAGAAGTTTACATGTCTGAATGTGTCCAGCCAATGCTGCCCGGTGCAACGCCGTCTGACCAAGAGTGTCTACAGCGTTCACCTGAGAAGAAAAAACATATTTCCATTTATTGTTGCGCTGTTTTGACAATTTTTTTTTACAACATCACCAACCTTTGCTCCATGTTTCTGAAGAACTTCAAGGATGTCATTGTGGGCTCTCTCGGCAGCCACATGCAACGGTGTCATAAAGCTGTAATGGTCAGGGCTTTGTTTATTTTCAAACATTGATGAATTTAAATACCAATGAAAGCGCAAAATACTTACTCTTTGTTCTTCTCATTAATATTGGCACCTTTACGAAGGAGTAATTCAGTGACTTGTTTCCTCTTTGGGTGAGGGGAGGCCACAGCACAATGCTAAAAATAAGTATCAAAAGTGAATTAATCTTGTCTCAAAAAGCAGTAAATATATGATTCATCACAGAATTCTGACCAGTGCAGTCTCATTTGTCTGCGGATGTTTGAAGCTAATAATCTCAAGAGCCAGTGTCTTTTTCACTTTAGCCATATCAGCTTCTCGTGCAGCTTGAAGCAACGAATGTCCTTTGAACTCATCTAGAAATCCCCAAAAATTATATTAGTATATTCTATAAAAATCATTTGTATGAATGATGTTTCCTTTTGTACACTCACACGAAAGCCTTTCTTTGAGCTCCGGTGTGGGTGCCATGTCGACTGCACTCTTGCTGTGACAGTTGAGCAGCGTTGGGTCGGCTCCGTGGCTCAAAAGCAATGAACAAACTTCCACTCTGTTTTTGGACGCCGCTTCATGTAGAGGAGTGAACTGCCACAAGTCCATGGCATTGACACAAGCTCCATGCTATATGGAAAAGGAAGATTCAAAGCAATGGGTTACTTAAGAAATAAATACAATTAAATTCCAAGCATAGAGGCCCCACTGAGTAGTAAGGATTTGACAGCCCCAAAAAACCACAGCTCAAGTGAAGACCTGCATGGAAGAATGGGTCAAATTACCAGCTACAAAATGTGAAAAGAGTGAAGACCAACGGCAAACGCTTGAACTGTCACAGCCAACAAAAGTTACATTAAAAAGTATTGAGTTTTTTGTTTTTTACATTCTGTCACAGATGTTGTGTGACAGAATGTCACACAACATTTGTGTGACAGAAAGTCACAATGACAGAATTTGTGTGACAGAATGTCACACAAATATGTGAGGAACCCTCACATATTTTTAATTGGGAAAAGATGCACAATTAGCAAGTGCGACATATTTATTTGCCCCACTACATATTCAATTGAAGCATCAGTCTTACTTTGAGAAGAAGCTCCGTGACTTCATAGTGACCATAGGAGCAAGCATTGTGAAGAGGAACCAGCCCACTGCAATGACAAGTGGTATATACACAGATAAATATTGTTTTTTTTTTAGAAAACTAAACATGCGGCTACTGCAAGAACTTGAACATTCATTGGTAGCAAAATTCAAAATGGGCATGAAAAATGTACTATTAAATAATGTATTAAAAATATGAACTCACCCTTTATCCTTGGCGTGTACATCGGCTCCATGCTGTAGCAGTAGTTGAACAATCCTGACACGGTTGTAGCCAGCAGCCAGGTGAAGTGGGGTCGACTAAAAAATAAAAAAATGCACGGTGTTACATATTGTTTTGCGCGTGTTGCCTTCGATGGCCAGAGGAGAAAGTGGATGATTTAGGAGCCAGTGAGAAGCGAGGAGCAATGACAGGCTATGCTCAATGAGTTGCGGATGAATAGTGACATAAGGCCAATGATCCAGCACAAACCGTGTCAATTTGCTGTTAATACATTTCTGACCAAAATGGCTAAAGTTAAATCAAAGCATCTTAAAAATGCAGAACTATTCCTTTTCCAAAATGTTACAATGAGAGAGACGGAGACCATGATGTGCCAAACAATTTAAAGTTGAGTTTTGAAAACATGAGCAGTTTTATAGAAAATACGTTAAATCCCAACTTTAAGGTCAAGCAAATTAGTTTTGAAGCAAGCCCAAGTTTGAAAATTATACCTGTGCTAGTAATTTAAAACTGTAAAAATCAATGCAAACGTGCCAATAATGTCAATTGGAATTTTTTAACATAGATTGTTCCAGCGCACTGACAACAGGGCTTCATTCAGTCTGACATGCAGTAATGCAATATGCAAACAATTAGTGATCCTGGCAACAGCATTTTAAGAAAACAAAATTCAAGCAAAACACATGAACATGGAGGGCATCACATTGACATATGTTTGAGCCATATCTTTCAAATTGTTGACAAGTAATGGAGGCGCAAAATGCACACAGTGTATAAGATGGATTTGGCAATGCACAAAATGTAGAAACATGCCTTCAAGCATGCATTGTATTCATAAAACGAGAGACAAAAAATAAAAATCATGATTATCAAATTAGACATTGTGCGCATGTGATTTAAAAGGTTTTGAAGAATTGTGGGTGAGTGCAGAGGTGAGGACAGACGCCAAAGAAAGCAGGCAAGTGTTTTTGAGCTCCTCTCCAAAAATCCAGGAAAGAACAGTCGTCATTACACCAAGCCCAACTCGCACACGCTCACTCGCACGGCCTTACAATACATACAGACAGACAGACAGACGAGCATCAGGATGGGATACAAGTGACCCGATCACCCAGGTCCAGGGTGTGCAATTAACAAGTGACAGCCAGCTTTTTTGGTCCGAAATAAAACATATGAAAAAAATGGATTAAATAAAATAAAATAACAAAATAAAAAGATCACAACAGTGCATCAATCAAGTGGCCAATTTCAAGGTCAACTTACCAGCATTTTTTGTGATGTTGACTGATCGACAAATGCCAGAATCACACGAAAAACAAAACGAAACAAAAATTACAAAATGGCAGTGTCTTAGTATTTCTTGCTGTATCGACTCTTAAGGCAAAAAGAAACTGATTTCAACTATTGTCAAAGCAGACTTTAAGAAATATGTGGAAAATACAGTTGAGGAGCATCTATCTGACTGCAAAATGGCATATACATACTTTATTTGTTTTTGAAAAGCAACTATTAAAATACAGGACTCTTCCTTTATGGACTATCGGTTGTGCTGAAATAAAGAGAATGTGATTCATTCTAAGCGGTAAAACATAGGTCTGTGAGAACATAAGCAGAAACAAAAATATCAAACCAGTTTAAACTACCTTATAACAAGTGTAAAGATGTGACTTGTTCACACAATGTATTTTCAAGTTACTTTGCTCCTTGATACAATAGTATAAAAGATATGTTTTAAATTACCTTTCGCCCATCACTGGCATGGCAATTGACATTCAGTGGAGTCAGCAGTGCCATTAGCTTCTCCTCATTCCCACTTCTGTAATAATAAGATTACAATTGTCTTGATGGAAAGATTGAAGTAATGAAATGGCACAATATAATCTACTTTAATTAAAATGTATGACTGCTAATCTGGTAATCCAAATTTGATATGTAGATACAGTCCAATATCAAAAGATGACAAAATTGAGCATAGTGAACAGTTTTTGTAAAATTAGCAGATATTTCACCTGGCCGCTTCTAGAAGCTCGTCCTTCTTGTATTCACCTAAAATAGTAACAGTTTCAGTTATTGGACATGTTTGTATCCTAAATGAACCATTCAATACAAATCCAAAGAACTGACCAGTTAGAACAGCTTTTGCTGAAGGGTCAGCGAGATCCAAGGCAGATTTTCCATCTGTGTTACGGATGTTCGGGTCTGCTCCGTGCTGTAGCAAAACTACACACAAAAACAAACAATCAACCCACAGTGCAAGAAGGAGCGCTACCGCATGGCCTTCATCCTCACCGCTGTCAGACTGTGCAATGCCACTTTGTCACTAAAACTATATTTTAAACCTTAACATGTTGCACACTTCTGTCTTATTGCACAATCTGGGTGATTCCATTTCTGCCAAATGTGATCTTCACATTTCTCCATTGTGACGTCAGTATAGTTTATTTTATCCTAACTACCTTGTCAATCTTATACATGGTACATTTACTTCACATAAGTAGGAAAGTACATTAAAAACCTCTTACCAATGCACACATCTATCTTTCCCTTGATGGCAGCCTCATGTAACGGTGTGTAGTTCCAGTTGTCTCTTGCGTTTGGATCAGCACCTTGACACAACAGGAGGCTGACTACTTCTGCATGTCCAAAAGAACAGGCATTGTGGAGAGGGATAAGACCGCCGTCATCCCGGGCATGAACATTGGCCCCAGTCTGTAAGAGATGCTCCACCACATCTTTGCGACCAAATCCTTTGGAGAAGAAATGTACGGTGTACATGAGATACACACAAATCCCATTAAAAGTAGGTAGTGTACACACTTGTAGAATTACTATACATAATTGCAAGAATTAGTACCTGCTCGTTAAGGAAATAGATTTGAGGAAATACAAAGTTTGTATTTATACTTTTTAGTAGCTTAAAAACAAAGTAAGAATACAACAAAACGTATTTGTCTATGTATTTTGACTCGAATGTTAACAGTGGCGCTTCTAAACAGAATACACTGTAAAAGACATTAACTACTGCGTTCAAAAACAAATAACTAAATTGCTATGAATTGAATCTTTTTTTTTTAAATGTGAGTGAAAAAAAGATGTTTTAATCCCATCAATCGTTGTCAGCTCGCTTTAGCACTAATAAAGATGACGTAAGGTCCATCACACGAGACCACATTAGCCTCTTAGCATGCGACGCTATTAGCTCTTCTTACATTATAAACACACCATTGACGAGAAAACAGATACAAAAGAGTAACATGTTGTGTTGATGATGGCCATGTAAACACTGGCTCTAAACATAAAGATAAAAAATATGCTTCGAGATGCAGTTGTTTTGACTAATGTTTACCCGCAGCGAAATGTAGCGGTGTAGATTTCCGTCCAGCCATGTCCTTTGCGTTTACATTCACCGAATCGACGAGTCTCTTCACCCTGGACACGTCCCCGTTGCGACAGGCCTCAAACAGCTCTCTGAAGGCCCCCCCGATCCCGCTGCTGCCCTCTGCGGGGCTTGGAACGCCTGAGCCCGGGCTGGAGACGCCGCTTCCTCCGCCAGATGGAGAGGAGCTGGAGCTGGTCGCTATCACCGGGGCTGGGGTGTCTGGAGAGGCCATGGGAAGCTCGATCCCCCCGGTGGTCTCACGCTCATTCTCCGGTGGTCCCACAGCCGAGGACAGCTGGGCCATGGGCGAAGAGGAGCCCGAGATGGACGCGTTTCTCGGCGGAGATGGTAAAGTATTTTGTTGTTGCTGCTGCGAACAGCGACGAGACACCGCCATTACCGCAGAGCTCAGGCAACAATAAGCTGTCCCTCCTTTCCGGTGAAAGTGCCCCTGCTTCCTGTCAGCTGTGTACTTTCCACATTCATCTCCAGATCCAGAAGTATTAAACCCACTGGACAGCATTAATCTTGAGGCCATATGTTAATCTTACCACTATTCCAACAATCTTGAGGATTAGTATGCACCATTCAATCGCACTCTGGGAAGCAATGTCTATAAGGATTGCTTAGGAGGGAGCAGTGTTTTAGGGATCACATGCTTTTCAAAGGATTGCGGTTCAATAACATCTGTACAAAACGGGGATACACTAATAATGCAAGTCAAGTTTCCCAATCGTCTTGAATCTAATGTAGATGGTCATTGGTATGTCATACATCAGTGGTTCTCAAACTTTTTACACCAAGTACCACCTCAGAAAATACTTGCCTCTCCAAGTACCACCACAAATGACCAACATCACACAGTAGCGTAATAAGCCTAAGTATTCATCCAAAGCAAGGCAGAGGTTTCATTCCTAAAGAAGCTTTTGTATATGCTGCTCCTTCTACATGGAACGTGTTGTAAAAAGACTGGAAACTTATTTCATTGAATGCTTTCAGATCCAGATTGAGAGCACTTGAGACATCTTCAGTGAAATGTAACTGTTTTTATAATCAGTAATTTTATGAAATTGTTCGTGACTGTTTTATAATCTGTAATTGTATTTAATTTTTTTACAGGACTCCCTTGTAATAGAGGTTCTACGTCATGGTGCTACGTCCCTTAGGACTTCGCTAGTGGGATATCACTCGTGACCCCCAGGTCAAACGCCAGAGAGATCAAAATAATTTGCTCCAATCACCAGCCACCTTCCTCTATAAATGCCCCTGCACAAGGCCGCACCCCCTCTTTCACTCTGGCGCCGTTCGAGATCTACCACAGTACTTTCTTCATTCTGAGATGTCTTCCTTGTTCGTCCGAGTTCCCTTCGCCCTCCGGCGTCGGACGTCGTCACTGGATCCAGACGGTGGAGGACTTCACCTCTGTGGGTGCCACCACTCGAGGGAGGAGGAGGATAAAACCCACGTTGTGCCCGCGGATGGACCCGTTCGTCCATTACGCGACACGTGAGTGGCCTAAGCCCCTAGCAGCCAAGAGGCCTGCTCTGGGGTACGACATATACTGCAGCGGGCAGGACTGGTCCTGGACCGGTGATCGAGGATTCAGTCCGCATGGCCCTGCAGCCCTCCGCATCCGTGTGGCCCGACATCAGACCTCTCCTTCTCCCCGAGTGGGACAGGATGTCTTGCCGATGCTGGATAGATATTATGCCAATGCGGCACAGGTCGTCACATTGGCTAACAACATGACTTTCATCACGGGGGCCCTGGACAGGGCGCTCTCCTCTGGCCAGGCGCTCAGTGGAGACCTCCTGTCACAGGCGAGGACCACCTCGGCGGCGTTCCTGCGCATGTGCCAGACGCTAGCCGTGGATGGTGGCCAGGACACCGAGGATTCAGTCCGCATGGCCCTGCAGCCCTCCGCATTCGTGTGGCCCGGCACCAGACCTCTCCTTCCCTCCGAGCGAGACAGGATGTCTTGGCGATGCCGGATAGATGTTATGCCATTGCAGCACAGGTCCTCGCATTGACTAACTACATGGCATTCATCACGGGGGCCCTGGATATGTTGCTCTCTTCTGGACAGGCGCTCAGTGGAGACCTCCTGTCACAGGCGAGGACCACCTCGGCCGCGACTCTGCGCATGTGCCAGACGCTAGCTGTGGATGGTGGCCGCTCCATGGCAGCAGCCCAAGTCGGGCCAGGCACCTTTGGCTTGGGCTGGCTAATATCAGGGAGGCGGAGAGGAGGCAGCTGCTGGACCTGCCCACCTCTCAGATGTCCCTCTTCGGCCCGGACATGCAGGCCTGGGTGGCGAGACTGGAGTCTGCAGCTAAAGACTCGGCTAGGCTAGCCCCGCACCGAGGCGCGAGGCCCACCAGCCATTACGGAGCCGGGACAGAGGCAGAGAGCGTTGGCCCGGGAGGCATCCTGACCCGTATCCGCGCTCTGTTATCCATCGTCCCCCCTTGACGAGGCCCCCGGGTCCAGACAGACCCATGGGTGGCTCGCGGGAGCAACGCACCCACCACCGACCTCCCTATGGTAGAGGAGGCCGGGGTGGAAAAATGTTTCCTTCAATAAAGGCCGACCGGCATTTCCATTACTTTTCTGAGTCTCATTTGGGGGTATGTAACATGTCAAATATTGTGAATTCTGATTGTGTTACTTCCCGGGCACATAACGTTGCTTCGCTAGGCCTGCAGCCCCAGAGAGGGGCGTGCAGTGCACTACGAGCTCCGGTTTCTCTGATCCATATATGCCCTCCCAGAGAGAGGTCAGGCGGAGGGATCTGGTGAGTGATATGTGTGTGCTTCGGCCGAACGCGTGTTAGCATTTCTGAGCTACAGGGCTAACACGGGGTTTCCCACTCCAGGGGCTCGCCCCCCCCCTCCATGAGGCAAGAGCCAGGGAGGGGCACAGCAGCCGAGTCACGTGTGGTGAGCAGAGCTACAAGGCTGACACGGGGTTTCCCACTCCAGGGGCTCGCCCCCCCCTCCATGAGGCAAGAGCCAGGGGGGGGCACAGCAGCCGAGTCACGTGTGGTGAGCAGTCCCGTACTTATGACGTCGGGCCTGCAGGACACGTGACCGCCTCCGGCGCTCACGGTGTGACGCAGGGGGCCCCCCGGCCCTTTCGTCCACCCCCCCCTCCCTGCTAGGAACACCAGGAGGGGGCGGGGCCGTGACGTCTCGTGTTCCATCTCCCGTTCCGCCCCTCACAGATTTATACAACATCTGGAGGGAGCAGGGCCTACTGACAGATATTTGGCTGGAGAAAACTCTGCGCAGAGGTTACGCGCTGCAATTTTTCCGAAAGCCACCACCATTCCGAGGCGTACGGGCAGTACGCTCTCAGGTACGGGGATCGACAGAGGAACTACAAGCGGAGGTCTCCTCTCTGCTGAGTCGAGGCGCAGCAGTGGAGGTAGACCCGCAGGACGCCACCAGGGGGCTGTACTCCCCTTACTTCTTAGTGCCAAAGAAATCAGGCGGGGTGCGTCCCATTCTGGATCTGCGCGTGTTAAACGAGTGCAGTTCCAAACGGCAGTTTCGGATGCTGTCCACAAGGCAGCTCCTCGAGTGTGTCAGGGAAGGAGACTGGATGTGCTCCATAGACCTGACAGATGCGTACTTCCACGTGCCCATAGTGCCAGAACACAGGAGGTTTCTGCGCTTCGCAGTGGGAGAGAGGAATTACGAGTACTGTCGTTTTCCCCTTGGGCTACGCACTCGCGCCGTGGAGCAGGGGTAAGAATTAATCTACATAGACGTCGGGTTAATTCTGGCCTCATCCAGGGAAGTGGCCGTGAGTCATACGCACTGGGTCCTGTCCCACATACAGCGCCTGGGCTTTGTGGTTAACAGGGAGAAAATTAACAGTTACCCCTTGTAACTTAAGTTCTACGAATAGGTGCACGTGATATCCCACTAGCGAAGTCCGCTAGGGGACGTAGCACCATGACGTAGAGGCAGGCTGCAACCGGCTCAGCGCATGATCTATCTCGGTCTGCAGCTAGACTCTGTGACATTCCGTGCTGCATGGTCAGTGGACAGACGGATGAACACTACCCGTCTGCCCGGGGAGGTTCTGGCGGGCCCCAGAGTCCCCGCTCGGCGCCTCAGGTCCCTGCTGTGACGCTGCTGTGGGCGGCGCTTCACCTCCTGTCTCTCAGGGCGCGCCACGTCCCGGGGGTCCGGAACGTGGGGGCCGACAGGATGTCCAGGGGGGGGGCCCACTCCAGGACGAGTGGGGCCTGGCCCCAGGGGTGGCTGCGGAGAGCTGGCGGAGGTTCGGCCGTCCAGTGGTCGACCTTTTTTCGCCAGTGCAGGAAACGCACAGTGCCCGTCCTGGTTCGCCTCAAGGGCCGCGGACCAGCCGCCTTTAGACGTGGACGCTCTGGCTCATTACCCAGGGCCAGGGGGCCTGCTGTACGCGTTCCCCACCAGTGCGTCTCCTGCCGGTCCTGCTGCGTAGGATCGAACAGGAGAGGAGGTCGGGGATCCTGGTGGCGCCGGACAGTCCGCATGCCCGGTGGTTCCCCTTCCTGAGGGGCATGGCGGTGATGGAGCCCTGGGCCCTCCCGGACGAGACGGGGGCTCTAGTCCAGGGGGGGAGGAGCCCTGTTTTCACGCCCGATAATCGGCCGCAGGCTCTGGGTTGGAGGCTGAGAGGCGGAACCTCGTAGACCTGGGTCTTCCCCCTGCGGTGGTGGAGACCACTCAGGGGGCGAGGGCGCCGTCCACTGTGAGGGCCTACGCCACGAGGTGGAGGCTCTCTAGCGACTGGTGCGGTTTTCGTTCCTGGGATCCCAGGCGTTGCCCGCTGGAGGGGGTCCTGGGATTCCTACAGGAGCTCTTTGACAAGGGGAGGGCTGTCGCCACCTTGGCGGTGTTCGCGGCAGCCATTACTTCGGGTCACGACGGATTCGGGGGGTTCACAGCCCGCTCTCATCCGTTGGTTAAACGTTTTCTGCGGGGGGCACGCAGGAGGAGGCCCCCGCTCCAGAGAACGCCCCGGTTTGGGACCTCAGGGTGGTCCTTAGGGGGCTGTCGGGTCCGCCTTTTGAACCGGCGGCGGAGGCGAGTCCCGAGTGTGTCGCTTTAAGACGGCCCTCTTGTTGGCGTTGGCGTCTGCTAAGAGGGCGGGCGACTTGTGTGCGCTTGTGCGACGGCATGGTGGTATTGTGGCCTAATCCGGCTTTTCTCCCCAAGGTCATCACGTCGGCCTTTAGGTCGAGAGTCATCAGGATTAGGGCTTTCTATCCGCCACCGCATGCCTCCCCCGAGGAGGAGCGGCGGCACCTTCTGTGTCCTGTCAGAATGCTGAGGCATTACCTGGCCATGACGTCGTCATTCAGGTTGGGTGGCCAGCTGTTTGTGTGTCTGGGCCCCAAGAACAGGGGCGCCCCGCTGTCGGCTCAGCGGCTGGCGCACTGGGTTGCCACGGCTGTGCGGCGGGCGTATCAGACGCAGGGTCTGGCCCTCCCGGTGGGCTTCAGGTCGCATTCCACGCGTGGGATGGCAGCCTCTACGGCCCTTCTCAGGGGGGTGTCGGTCGAGGACGTATGCCGTGCGGCTTCGTGGGCTTCGTCCTCCTCTTTCGTCCGGTCTTATCTTTTGGATGTGTCGGACCGGTCGGTGGCCCATTCCGTGCTGAGTGCAGCGGACTGAGTTAGACCGTTAGGTCCCTCCTCTGAGGGGGCCTTCGGTTTACTTTTCCGCCCTGGTTCAGGAGCTCTTGGGAGAGGCATCCTACAGGTGCGGTACTTATATGTGTGTTTTGGTCGGTCTGGTAGTCCACGTCAGGAGCCCTTGGGAGAGGCGTCCTGTGACTACGGATGACCTATATCTGTGTTACGTGGGGGTATCCTTGGTAGGAGTGGCCCTGTAACACGCATTGTTTCTTCTGTCCTGAGTCCTCTCACTTTGTGAGGGTCTTGCTCGGGCGGAGCTCCAATCACCCTTCGCTGGCCTGCTGGGAGTACATTTTCCTACGGCCTCCGCGTTGTGTCCCACTAGCGAAGTCCTAAGGGACGTAGCACCATGACGTAGAATTAATAGTTACTTAATGTAACTTAAGTTCTACGAATAGGTGCGTAGTCCCTTAGCTACGAGCCCATCAGGCCAGCCCGGCTTGGCAGAGTTCAAGAGGGGGTGCGGCCTTGTGCAGGGGCATTTATAGAGGAAGGTGGCTGGTGATTGGAGCAAATTATTTTGATCTCTCTGGCGTTTGACCTGGGGGTCACGAGTGATATCCCACTAGCGAAGTCCTAAGGGACTACGCACCTATTCGTAGAACTTAAGTTACATTAAGTAACTATTAATTCTCATTGACTGCCAGCCGTATTGTGTGCTATGACTATGAAAAATATGAAACCAGAGTCTGAAAGAAAGGACTGTCTACTTTCAGCAGCAAAAAAGTTTATTTTTAGCTTGTTTCGTTCTCATGTGATCTCCAGTCGAAAAGAGGGGAGTGTGACAAAAAGCACCAGTCTTAGACAAAAAGCTGAGAAAATGAGGTGTTTGTGAAAACAGACGAACCTGCAGAAAAGGGACAGTAACACTATAGTTTAGCATCTCCACAAACATGTCCAGGATCTTACATGTTAGAAAACAGAAACAAGTTATGAGAAAGTGTTTTTGATGCAAAATATTGTTTTATGGCACACACACCCGCAAAGTGTTGTTCAAGTATTTCAAAATGTACTCATCCAAAAAACGTCAACATTTTCATATTGAAAGTAGAGCCACTATGGCAGAAATAATGGCCAGTATTCATCCATTAGGTGGTGCTATATTTATGTCAATAAGAGTAAATCAGAGATAAGCAAAATTACAATGATAAACACTATAAGTGACAATAAATCAAAGTGAACAGACAATATAGTTATACTATAAGTGCAATAGAATACTGTTGTCTTTGGACGTGTATGTATGTGCGTTTATGCGCACGTTTGTGTGTATTTGTGTGGTAACATCTACAGTGTTGTTCTGTTTAGTCCAGCGAGCGCTGTGAGCATAACTGGACTTAGCCGCTGGCTCCTGGTGCGGACTCAGTGATAGTTTTAGCAATAATCCACTTTTCTGTGGCTTTTTTGGGGTGCACTGCCAGGTCTGCTGCCCTGACCCTCCACATGGTCTGTGTCAGCTCTGGAGACACATTTACTGCTCAAACTGCCTCCAACTGTAGCCTGACCCTGACTATTACTCCATGTCTGCTTCACCTGTCTCTCCTGCTCTGAGTGCTCAGACAGTGATCTTTGACCAAGACACCCACAGAGCTCTGCTGCCACCTGCTGGCTTAATAAAATACTGTCTACAGCCAAACCCCAGACTGTATGATACAGACAGACAGGAAAAGATTGAAAAACAATGTTGAGGTCAATGAGTTAATCTCAATGGTACTTTCCTGGACAAAACCTACTTTGTGAGACAGGCCTCCTCGCTGACAAAGTTTAAAACCAGGTTAAAAACAGTTCTGTTTAGCTGTGCATACAACTGAGGGATTTTATATTTTTATCTTTCTTTTTAATGTTCTGTGATTATTTATGATTTTAATGCGTTCTGATTTTGTTCAGCACTTTGAATTGCCTTGTGTATGAATTGTGCTATATAAATAAACTTGCCTTGCCTTTGTATTAGTTTTGTGAAAGCTACTTCTTTATAATGATTTATTAAATGAACAGAAATACTTTGTGCAATTCTGATGCAAGAAATACACTAAATACATTTTTTTCTAAATGAAGCTTTTTGACTCCTTGAAAGAAAAGGTCAGAGTGGACAATAAAGCAATAGATATGATTTAGAATAGAATACAGGCAAACATCCTGTTTATTGTTTTAAACATCAAAATATTGGACTTGTACAGACTTGTGAAATCAAAGCTTTATAAATTACCACAACAAAAGTGTGTGTCCGTGAACAATAAAACGTATTTTAAAAAAAATGCACAATACAAATAAAATAACGACTTGATATTTGTAATCCAACATTTTTTTCACAATGCTTGCCCAACACACTCACCAACCTTTATCACTGCAATATTCAAAATGGGAAAAATGCTAATACTGCTAATACCTAATAAGTAAGCGAGCCTTCAGCAGCTCAGAGGAAGAACAGCTTGTCTGAAAGTTGGATGGCAGGTTCAGAGTGCAGGTACTGTCCTGACAGGAAAGCCAGTTTGTGGGCGTACTTGCATGGAGCTGGGACACGGATGGTACCAGGCCAATTCCAGTACAAATGGCACATCTTGAACGTGAGTCTGGAGAAATAAACATTTTTAGAATTCATGAAGCAATTAGCCAATGCAACAGGCTAACAAACTTGAACAGGCGTACCTTTGCAGATGGTCAGGTGACAGATTTGCAGTGTTGTACAGAGAGATGTAGTGTGTTGGAAGTCCACAGCCTTGTCGGATGCTGTGGGCCATCAAAAAGAAGTCCACCCTAAAGATATCAATTTGGGTTTTAGACAAACGCCTGATACAAAAAAGGCATCAAATATATCTTCAATATTGTTAAAGCTGGGCATACACCGTGCAATTTCAGAAAATGTTTGGACATAACATACACGGAGCAATAGAGGCACACTTTCAGCTGCTCACACTGTACAAATAATATACGAGATGAGAGGCCATTGACGTCACCTGTCGCGATATTTTCAATAAATCAAACGCATTATGATTAAAATGAGCTAAATAATTTTTCTGGCCGCAATAAATGCCATTCGCATGCTTGTTTTCCTCGTCTCTCTCCCTCGGGTCAGAGAGCCGCAAAGTGGTCACGGGAACATTAGCGGTCTAGCGAGCAGACTGAAAATACTCAAATACATAATACAGCCAAAACAGGAGCTAAACCAGGATTGACAATGGTGGACACAGTGCTTGTGAACCTATGCCGGCCTGAGTTCTCATTCTCTAGTATTAGCGCGTTTGCTGATGCGGAAGTACTGTTTAATAATAAAAAACTTGTGGCGCACCTCCTTTAACACATACTGCTGTTATATGAAGTCTCTGGACACAGAGACGCTGCAGAGCTGAATTCTTTGAGAAGAACTTTACACAAAAAGCCGCTAGCTTAACTCTGTTAGCATCAAAGCTCGCCCGCTACTTCTGGCGGACCCACTGCAGGCAAGGCCCCATAACGATGAGTGAACCCTCATGGCAGTCATTTGTCAGTTGCATGGTGTGTGCAGAGACGTAAATTATTTCTAAAACGATGTTTGCATATAGCCTATTGAGGCATCCGTTTAATAACTTTGTTTACACAGGTCCTGGCAGTTTTATTCCAGATCATTTTTCGTTAAGAGTATTGTGTTTGTTTTTGGTTGGTTGTTAATTTATAGTGTTCTAGTGTAAAATATGATTTAATAAAATAAGTGTATTTCTCTTTGAAAAGGTGTACCTGCATCATTATTGTATTAGAGGAAAATTATCTCAGAACGACAATATTATCACTTATTGCAATAATTTCTGAGAAAATGTATTGTCCAGCAAAATGTTTTAATTGTCATAGGCCTACGGAGGAGCGAGGATAGATGTGTACATGCTGCCCTGGGAACTTGTGCGTTGCCTGTGGACCGTACATACATACTCTGCGTGTACACTCCAAACAATAAAAAATTAGAATAGCATGAAGGTTCTTTATCAAAACTTTGGTTTGTGTGCCCGGCAGTGATTCATCCAGAGGATCTTCCCATAGCGTCCAGCCCTGCTCCAGCCCCACGTTTACTCTGAAGGTTTTATCTAACATGTTTGCTATCCCCCACGATCATAAAATGAGCTCACTGCTGATTGTTATGTGATAATCGCAGCTCATAACCCTTCACACTCTGTACAAGTCATACACACTGAGGAGATTTTTGGCGATGGTGGCAAAATCAAAATTGCACAGCGTAAGCCCAGCATTAATCAGGTTTTTCAGTTTTAATACCTGTGGGGCAAAGCTGAGAAGATCAGTAATGAACCTTCCACTGCAGCACTTTGAACATATCTCCACACACATGCTCTGTTTACATTTCCATTACAAACTGGTACAGTGCAATTATGTCTAGCATTATTGACCATTCCCTACTCGTGTCCCTACAAGTTGTCTTGGTTAAAAAAAGTGAAAAAGACTGGTCATGACTAGGGGTGGGAACCTAAGGGTACCTCATGATACGATACGCGATACAAAGCTCACGATAACGATTATATCACAATAACGATATCAGGATTATCGATATATTGGTCAGCAATACACCATATGCCAATATATGGCATACATAAAATAGAAAAATGTTAAGTGAAAAAATACTTTATTTCATGATAAATGGAATGGAGAGAAGTATTGATAATAAAAAATGTTTTTTCCAAAATCGATACTTTGTAAATGCATATCGAGAATCGATCGTGGGAGAAAGTATCGCACTCCTAGTCATGAACCCCGCCTTCAATATTCACCATGTTTCTGCTTGTTGAAAGAGGCCTTTGAACACTGCATAAGTCAGGAAAACAATTTGTCAGTTACAGGTATCTGATCAGGGGATTTGCACATTTATCCTAATTATACCGTCACCATGATTTAAAGCTGCACTAACTGACTTTATTTTTGTATTCATTACGAAAATGCTATCCATGTCCATGTAGTGCATTGGGATATACGTCCTTTTGAAGAAAAAGTCGCGCAGATTTGTGCTGGCGTGACATTGTATTTTAGATCGAGTATTGATGAAACAAGGAAGAGAATGTGTTTCGGGTCGCAGATTGTGACCAATCACAGCGGACCACTAGCCCCCACTTTTGTGAGAAATCTACAGGTCTCCGTTAGCACAGACAGCTGAGTTAGCACAACAAGCGGCGGAGCTAACCTGAAGCTTTGTGTCTTCGTCACCGGTTACTGCTTACACAGCAAAACAGCCATCCAAAAGAAAGTCCCGTTCCTCCGCGCTTCTATCGTTCTATGGTCACGCCATCCACGTGCAAATCCATATACATGTATTATCCATATTGGGAGACGCTAGCTCCAACAACAGTGGGTGTGTGTGGGGGGCGATAGCTTCGTGGGTGCGGGGAGGGGAGCAGAAAGAGAGGCCAGCGAGTCCGCGGCTTCAAAATCCCAAAGTCAGTTAGTGCAGCTTTAATGACGAGGTGTCTCAACTGTTAGCTTCCATGTCGGTACTAATTTCCAAGTCTATTCTGAGAAATAAACTTGTATTCTATAAGCCACAGGGTTCGAAGAAGAAAAAAACATAGCTTATTTTCAGGTTCACGTTAATAAAAGCGGGGGGATAAATTGTCTCACTAGTCAGCAGTTCTACACACGTTATCACTTCTATAACAGTCAAATGTATGAATAAAATGAAAATTTTATAGTAAAACATGGCCAGAGCAAATGTTTCTGGATTGTGTGGAGTTGTGTTGAAAAGGTTCCGAGCAACAATTACCCAACCTGTTACCCATATTTTGTCTCTAACAATGGCACTTTACCTTTAATTTTGTATTTTTCTTCTTTTTTTTTTCCCCCAGTGGTCATCATTCTGTCCAATCAAATCAGGGGCTGAGGTGGGTATGGCCATTTGTCTGGGGTGGGGGAGTCATTTCAGGAAGCAGAATCACATGTGAGACGGTGCCCAATTTAGGTAAAATAGATGTCTTTTTTATGCAGGTTTAAATTGGAAAACATTGAATAAATATGTGACTGCATGGATATGTCAAGAACCATATTTGATTGTTTACATGTTTTTTTAAATAAGAAAGTATGTTCTAAAACAGTGAATTTAGTTTTTTGCCTCAAAGCAACGTCATGCACATGTAGCACTTTTGTTGGAAGAATATGATGCTAATGAATGTCGATGTGCTGAATTGCATTATAAGCAACATACTCAATGTTTTTTTCAATCTATCTACAAATTAATTTTTAACTATTGCTGCATGTAGCAAACGGACATGAAAACATTTTATGGTGCAAAGAATAGAAGAATAGAACACCCCATAATGCCAACTTCCCTGAATCCTGAATGGCAAGGCCGTCTTCCAAGATCCCAAGGTATTTTCTCCCCTCTTCACTACTTGAGGATGTTTTTTTCAGAAGACATTCTGTCCATGATTGTAGAGCAGTCAAATCTTTTTGCCATACAGTGTAACCCAAACAGGCCTCAAAACCTCAGCACCAAAGAACTTGAGCAGTTCATAGGTACTGTGGTCTACATGTCACTGTTTGGCTTACCAGCCACACGCATGTTTTGGAGCACGGCAAGTGGGGTGCACCAAATTGCTAACACCATGAACAGATGGGAGGCCATCAAGAAAGCCCTGCACTTCAATGACAATGAAGCAGAAGTAGCAAGAAGTCCAGATCCCCTTTACAAAATTAGACCACTGGTAGACCATCTTACTACAAAATTGAAATCCATCCCAATGACTGAAAAATTAGCTGTGGACGAACAGATAGTTCCCTTCAAAGGAAAGCACAAGAACAAGCAGTACCTACCATGCAAACCCAAGAAATGGGTGTACAAAATACTTGTCTTAGCCAGCTCTGAAGGTATATCGCACAACTGAGATATACACAAGGCGTGTTGTGCAACCCCCTTACCTGGCAGATATAGGTGCGAGTGGGAATGTTGTCCTCCATCTGGCTGAACCAATACCAGGGCAACAGAACCACAAGTTGTTCTTTGACAACCTGTTCACTAGTGTTCCTCTCATCCTCACACTTGCTCAGGAGGGAATCCACTCAACTGGTACAGTAGGGGTGTGACGATATATCGATTTTTCGATTATCGATATGCATTTGCCAAGTATCGATATCGATTTTGAAAAAAAAAAAAAAAAATTGGTATCAATACTTAGTATGTGGCTAAATTACGCACCTCCATTTCATTTATCATGAAATAAAGTGTTTTTTTTTTTTAATTTATGCCATAAATTGGCATATTGTATATTTCTGACCAATATATTGATTATCGTTATCGTGAGCTTTGTATCGTGTATTGTATCGTATCGTGAGGTACCCTTAGGTTCCCACCCCTATGGTACAGTGCGCATCAACAGGCTACCAGGCGTGAATTTAACGTCTGATGCTGAGCTGAAGAGATCTGGACGAGGAACGTTCACACAGAAGACACAGCCATGGTTGGGGACATCTCTTTATATGTGGTAAAGTGGTATGAGGGAGTATAATAAGAACATGGGAGGGGTGGATCCCCTTGACTCACTGATTGCACTTTACCGTAACAAGGTCCAGTCAAAGAAGTGGTACCACCGGCTGGTGTTTCGTTTTAATCGACATGGTGATTGTCACAGCCTGGCTACTCTTTTGAATATTTCATGACACTTTGAATCTTAGAACTTTAACCATAGTTGCTTCAGATTCAGATTAATTTATTTGCCATTTGGAGTAAAACCACATTGGAAAAACTGTGCTCTTTCCACTGCATGTTTGGATTTCTGAAGGCCAAGCTACATGGCACCGTGGCAGCTGCTGATTGGAGAACTCCATTCCTCCATACTGTATATTATCAGTTGCAGTCTGTAACATCGTTTGTTCGTGCTCTTTCATCAACAATAAAAAATGTCTTCTGTCTGAATTAAAGACACGATCCCAGACTTTGGCCATTTTCAGTACAATCTCTTCTATAGAGTGAAGAAGATGACAGAGAAAAGAGGCTATGAAGCTATATACATTCAAGTCTGTGCAAAACTGAGAAGGAGCGCAGTCGTCCCAGCTCTACAATCGCTGAGGACCATAGGGAGAAGTGTAGAAGAGGTCCTGCTACTCCCATTCCAGTCTCTGACGCCACTGCCCACTGGATGGTTATGGCCGAAACTAAGGGAAGATGCAAGGCACCCGGATGCAAAGGTACTCCAAAGGTCAAGTGCAGAAAATATGGCGTCCATCTCTGCTCCACAGCCACTCATAACTGCTTCTTGCGGTTCCATACAGAATAGGCTAGAGACCCCATCAGTGTGATTTCCGGGTCACTGTTTTTGTGTTTGTTCTGAAAATACTGCTTTGTTACCTAAAACTTTTTCAAATGTGATTCCTTTGAGATTCTTTTTCATCATTTTATGCATATTGAAAACCTTGGTGTTTTAGTAGCTTTATTGCGCAATGTTGCCCTGAAGCAACAAACCAATATCTGGTTGAGGGGGGTGTGGGGGGGAAATATTGTAATTGATATGTTATCAGAGACCCATAAGCTCTCAAAATCTAGTTTGAATTATTTTTTTTCCCAAAAAATAAAAAGTAATGCCATAAAGGGCTAAGACACACATAATGATGACGTTTAAGTGGCGTTTCCCTCCTGGATCCACTCATAACCACACAGCACCAGTTATAATAGAAATGTGAGCACGACTGAACAAGGTACATGCACGGAGTGTATAGTTGAGTTCGGTCAAGAAACTGCTGGGGATATCTCTCACTGTTTTAAAAAGGGACTTACCACTTTCTGTTGGTAAGTGTGTGGTCAAGGACGGTCCCAGGGGCAGTGCTGCCGAAGGTGTTTCCATGTGAAGAGTAGAGCACAGTGTTGATGCGCTTCTGGACCACGATGAAGACCAGTTTGGGTTCGTAGTCGGGGAATGTTTCTAAGGATTTTAGGATCTGTGGGAGCTCATACTCCTCCACCACATTGAGCTGCCCTTCAGAAACCCCATCACGATAGACCACAATTTTCTCCGGCAAGTTGTGGTTTACCTGTACAAATTAATGCTCAGGGTAAAGTGGCTGTACAAGACATTTTTTTTAGTTAAAGGCAAGATCAGAAAAATGCTAAAATGTTCACATTTACCTCATAGTACTTTTGTAGCGCAGCCAATAGACAAACCCTGAAGCCACATATGAGCTCCTCAGAGGGGGTCTGGAAGGTTACTCTGGAGTACCATCTGGTCAATGAGCTTAGGGCAAAAATGTATTATTGTAGTTAATATTTAAAAACTGTAAATTACATTAAGTTTACAGTGCATTGTCAGTGTCCCAACAGCCTGAACTTTAGCATATTTTGTCATATGGCCAGAAATCGCCGGGTCAGGGGTTAGGGGTGTCAGTCAGAGCTGCACCCAGTCCACATAGCACCAGCCAAATTAATCATTTTTTATACTTAAATGATGATTCAATTAAAATGTTCAATTCAATACGAACTGCAAAGCCTTGACTCACCACTGTGAATGATATTCTGGAATGGGATGGCCCTCTGTCCACCAGAAGGTTTGGACACTGGTGCACTTTTGTTTATAAGGCTATGCTTGGTCTACTGCCCTCTTGTATATGCTGCTCCTGCTAAATGGAAATTATCTGAATTTATTTCACTGAATGCTTTTAGATCCAGTAACAAGTGCTGCGTAGACACTTGAGCGTGACGCTCGCTCTCCTCCAATCGCAGAACGAGGAGCGCCGCTGTTACGAGCAGGCGGCGTCCTTTAGCTTCTACAGCGCTGCTAAGCACAGTAGCATGTTAGTAGAATTGGCTATAACTCGTCTAGCTGTAACTGCATACACAGCAAAACAGCACAAACGACACAACAGTGAGGAAGAGAAGAGGGAACTAAAGCGAAAAAATGATCAAAGAAGAAATCAAGCCAGGGTGAACATAGCTAGCTTACATCGTATCCTCTGGAGAGACTTGTCTATGGGAGAGACCTGCGGGACCGCCTCGGACTATCTATGCTCAGACTACATTCGGACGCGGAACTAGCGGTAATCTTTCAGTTATATATTTTGTTAGCAGTGCGTTGCTTTTGTACTATTTCATCAGTGATTGTTGTACAGCGCACAAGAATTTGCGCTCATGCTAATGTTTGCATACGTATCAGATTGCAAATACAACTAGATGGCTCCGTGGATTGAGAGCGTAGGGGAAATGAGAAGCCTGTGTAAGTTGAGGGGCAGTGCTAAACATTCAAATCTTGCAGAAACGGGTATAGCTCCATTAATCTCGAAGGGACGTCCCTAGCCTGGCCTTAGCCATCCGTACACTCCGCTCAATTATCATTTCCCTGCATGTAACGTCTGGGTCTGGTCCCTGGGTTAGCAATTACAATCTGTTAAATTTCCTCCAACCAATCAGCGAGCGTGGGAGGCGGGTGTTGTAGTTAGTTATTGGTGACGTCAAGAGTTTGCGTCGAACGGGCAGGTTGTAATTTGGCAATGGTGAAACAGTAATCCGGTCTGGTTCTATTATGAAATTGAAGCCGGAGCAAGAGGAATGTTTAGCAAATGTAAATCGCTGGCAAAAATTGTGGCGCTACTCCCCACAGGCTCCGTTAGCGGAAAAGGAGATGGCTAGGCTAAATGCTAACGACTCACTCAGGCGGATTACAATCATTTCAATCTGCAAAAGGAGTTAACCCCTCCCACTTGTTAACGGAGCTCAATGGAGCACCTCCAGACCTTAGAACGAAATGTAGTTTGTACTAAGGTGTGGTACGATTAGGCTAGAACTTTCCTGGTCAAAAAAAAAAAAAAAAAAATTGTTTTATTTATTTTATTTCAGTGATTCTTTTGCTTACCTCTAGAGGGAGCCCCGCAAAGTACCACACTTTGAGAACCACTGGTTTAGGTAGACAGTAGTAAACAAGGTGCGAGTTTGACAAAAAATGATACTTATCAAAAATGCATCATCAATTAAACCAAATGTGATGTTTTGAAACACAGATAAAAGAAAAAAAAAATCTTTGTGTTCATGGCATGACAAAATGTTCAAGCTGCATAGACACGTTTGCCCTGTAAACTAATCTAATTGCGACTTCAACTTACCTGTTAACACTTGCAACAAAGCCCATAACGGACTGACGGGACTTGCTTGTGTCATGATGAACATCAACTCCAACCACCATCATGTTTTTCTAACAACAGACAAAATTAAGTATTTTAAATAAACAATGAAGTATGTATACCTCATAATAGAAAGCAATATTGCCAAATAAGTTACCAGAGGGACATTGACCGTCCACAGTTCGCCACCAAGTTTACTGTTGATCTGCAGAATTATTTTTTGGGCAACACTTTTCAGTTTCAGTGGTTGGGAAATTGTCCTAACATTGATTGCCTAAAGAATAATCAAAACAAATATTACAAACTTGTTTTTATAAAATTACAATAATAATGTTGCAAACCTGGGAAGGAATTGGATTTTTCACGCAGCAAAGTTTCTTGACAGCACTGTAGAGGTCATCCCTGTTTCCAACTATAATGCACACAACCAACTGTATGTTGGGCTACAAAGAACAAAAATGTTTTAAGTTAATGAAGTTCAAGTGGAGAAGAGCCTTTACAGTGTCAAACAGCAGCTCCCTTTGTCCTCGTTTCTTCATGTTTACTTTCAGATTTTTTTTAAAATCTTATAACATTAATGCTCACATTTAAAATGTTTTTTTCCTCATGGTGCAAAACAAGCCTCACGGTCAGCATGGAGCTCTGCTGCCCCACATTTGTAATACTCTTACCGAGTTCAATTTTCAATAGGAGTAAAAGTTATTCATTAGCACAGGGGGGTGAGCAATGTCCATCTCTTTGCATCTATGGTCGCAAAGAGATGGACATTGCTCACTATGGTCTAAACCAGGGGTGTCAAACTCATTTTGGTCCGGGGGCCACATACAACCTAATCTGATCTCAAGTGGGCCGGACCAGGAGATGCTCTACAAAAATATCCAAAAACGGTACAAAGTCCAACTTTTTGTGCACATAAACACATTTATTTAAAACTTCCTTTAAAACACTATCCTTTAATACTCAGTTTTCTGTTACAAACTTAAATGTAACAGTGAGTTTTTCATAGTGCAAATAATGTAATGTATTTAAAATATTACATTGAAAATGGTATTTCACAATATGTATATTAATATTTGTATGTTAGCTTTGTTTTAAGGCTCATTACAGAGAAAACTTGCTCACAAAGGTAAAGTAGGTAGATAGAAAAAAACACTAACACAGCACCTCAGCTTAACCATCTTCAGTGTGGTAAGGTCCATGGTTATGTTATTATCACATTAACCATCTTCAGTGTGGTAAGGTCCATGGTTATGTTATTATCACATTAACCATCTTCAGTGTGGTAAGGTCCATGGTTATGTTATTATCACATTAACCACCTTCAGTGTGGTAAGGTCCATGGTTATGTTATTATCACAGAGAAAGCATCAAACTGACCATGATTCACTTGAAATGAATAAAACAACTTCCATAACGTGATCCATTCTTAACGACTGCAGCAGTGTCTCTGTGTAAAATACAGTCAAATGTCCAAAAATCATCACCTCCATTTGCAGCTTTGTCACTACACCTGTTTTTACCATCGGTACCCGTCCACACTGTCCAACACACCAGCAACAACAGCAGAACCAGCAGCAGCACCAGCAGCAGCGCTCAAAACTCCTCTGATAGTTTCAGTAACACCACAAATGAATATGTGACATCAGTAACATCAGTCTCTTATCAATAGCAACATGTTGGTAAAAGCGAGTGGTTTCTCATACCATGTCTGCAGCCTGTGACAGTTTTAACAAACTCTCTCTCACTGTGCGGCTGGGATGCTAATGCTAATGTTGTTAGCACAGGTAGCTTCCCTTTACAGCAGCAGAACTAACCTCTCGCTCGGGGCACAAACAGACTGCTGTGTCTTCAGGGCCAGACATGTTTATCTTCTGTTTTCTCAATTCTCCGCTCAAAGTGCCGTATTTTTCGCCGAGTCTTGTAGTTTAAGATGTTATTCCTCCAGCACCGCTCTGGTGGAGCCACTACAGACGCACTGGACTCACCCCTGAGCGCGGCGCTGCGGCGTCGCGTTGCGGAACCTCGCGTCGCGGAACCTCGCGTCGCAAAGCCTTGCGGAGCCTCGCGTTGCGTAGCCTCGCGTCGCGGAGCCTCGCGGAGCCTCGCGTCGCGTAGCCTCGCGTCGCGTAGCCTCGCGTCGCGTAGCCTCGCGTCGCGGAGCCTCGCGTCGCGTAGCCTCGCGTCGCGGAGCCTCGCGTCGCGGAGCCTCGCGTCGCGGAGCCTCGCGTCGCGGAGCCTCGCGTCGCGTAGCCTCGCGGAGCCTCACGTCGCGTAGCCTCGCGGAGCCTCGCGTCGCGGAGCCTCGCGTCGCGGAGCCTCGCGTCGCGGAGCCTCGCGTCGCGGAGCGGCTTTTTAAAATGTATTATTATTATATTTTTACATAAATGAGCCGCGGGCCGTGTCAAATCTCTTGGCGGGCCGGTTCCGGCCCGAGGGCCGTATGAATGACACCCCTGGTCTAAACACTATGGTCTAAACATTATGGAATTGGGAGACCACAGACCATGAGATTATTCTATGATGACCATGATCTTATTTTAATTATTTTTATGAGTCTTGACCGCCCTAAATAAAAAACCTCACCTCACTGGTGAGTTGTGAGTGGATACTCTTTACATAATTCTCTGTGCGGTCGTCTCGGAGCTCCACACGGATGGGGCGCTCCACTTTGACACCCATGGGTCCTGCCACCTTTTTGAAGGTTGACACCAGTTCCTCTGCCTGCTCGGCACAGCGACGAGGGTAAAAGAGGGCCCAAGTGTTTAATGGGACCTGAAAATAAATTTACTGTAAGCATTTTACAGTGTGGCAAACCTTATTATTCTTTCATGTGACATTCTAGGATGTTTCCCATTATTAAAACGTACTTTAATGACAGAATGCTTGCATTACTCACTGAACTGATGGAAGGATCCCTGACAATCTCTCGAGACCAGGACACATCCGTTCCTGTGGTGAAAGACGAACTTTGCAAACAGATCGTCTCAAATGGCAGAGATCTCCCTTTAATCTGCAAGAAAAGGTGAAATTACATGAGATAAAATGTAACATTTTCTGAATGTATTCTTTGAGAAAACAAAACCTTACTATCATAATCTCTGAGCCAACTTCCAGGCCCCACTTGTTGAGTTCTTTCTGACTCTCTGGGTGGGTGTTAAACTTCTTCAAAAGCTGTTTTATTGAGTGGGTATGCTGTTCTGTGCTCACATTGATGTACTTTGTCAGGTCCTGAAATTTCACATTTTCACTTTGTTTCTGAGCTTAATGCAAAACACTTGTTATAATTGGGTACCTTCATTGATTTGAAGTCTTTTTTCATTTTCTCAGGAATACCAGTCATAAAGGAAAGCTCTGGCACCAGAAGGATTTCCCCAGTGATGACTTGCTGTAAAATACATAGATACGTACATATGAGCAAATGCTCCAATTGCTGCCTCATTAGCAGTTATTGCCAGTAAGAGATTGTGGTTATTGCTACTGTATACGGCATCTCTTTGAAAATTCTAAAAATCCTGATTTTATAGTTTTGAACACAGATGAGGGATATTTGTGTATTTCAACATTGTCCTGGTTGTCCCTTTTATTTTTGGTTCCATGGCAGCTTGATAAATATCGCACCATAACTAAACCCTTTAGGCGCCTAATCTCTAAAGGATTTTCAAAGGAAAGGTCTAAATGACCCAAGGCTGGTTCAGTTATAAATAAAGTATTTTTCAATACATAAGTTCGATCTGAAGATAGCATTAACAATATAATAATGAATACTTATTTTTTACATTAGTCACAAGGGGGCAATGTGGTGCTACATTTCAGTAATGCAAGCCATGTCACAACGCTAGAGTTTTTCAGCAGTGTATACAGTAAAATATCAACAATTCACAGTCACTATTTGTGGACAAAGCACACACTACCTTTCCTCCTGGCTTTGATCGTTCCTTTGGTCGGTGCATAAGCAGGGGCTGGTCCATCTCCTTAATGGTAATGCCGTAGTTCTTGCTGTAATGTAACATGGATAATATCTGAATGGGCATAAATTCTTACTAGACAACAAACCTGTAATATTCGACAAAAGTGGTTTTTGTTCCGTCCATCAAAGTGAAAGTGTCTTTGGGTGACTTGTTCCACTCGATGGCGTCAATGCGGTACGTGCGGTTGTTGTAGCGTGTGATCACAATGCTGCCCAACAGCTCTTTGGTGCACTCATCCTGGAAGTTTTCCTTGCTTTGCTGATACAATACATTCCTGCAAAAATACATTAGTTTAAATTGTTCTACTGATAATATGGCCAAGAGTACAGAATGAACATGTAAAAGTTAGTCAAGAATAATTTGCAAGACTTCGCATAATTGGTTTACATAATTATTTTTCATAGATTACATCCATATAATAGAAAGATTAAATATCCCTCAAATCATTTAATTAATCATTTTCACTACTAATAAGTAAGTCATCTTTATTTATATAGCGCATATATCAAATATTATGATTGACACTTACATTACATCCAGCACAGAATCATTCCTCAACACTTTGTGAATCACTTCCACACTGAGAAGCAGCCCTCCATCTAAGCGCTTTATACTTGTGGCAAACCCTGGCCATACCTGCAGCCTATTAGAAAAACAAAACAGTACAAGCGATTAATATAATTTAGTGTAATTTCTTCTTTTTAAATTACTTATTTAGAAAGTTACCGATGCTTTCCGAGAATGACTGCACTTTCTGGGTCAAAATGATTCCGTCCAACCATCTTCAAACCAATGATTTTCATAATTCTAGGAGGAAATATTCATTGTATCTCTCTTATATCTAATAAAAAAAACTCATTGTATTACCTTCTTAAAACCACATTGTAGAAGGGAATGCAAAGATCAGAGCTGGGTGGCAAGATCTTTGTCATCTGAATTTTGATTTGGACTTCCTCATTGTCAGTCCTTCTAAGACTTTTAAGGAGGACCACCTTGACAAAACTTGTGTTAAACCACATATAGTGTGGGAATTGGTATAATTTAATGCTTACGTCATTCAGTTTAACAGGAAGATACAAGATGGAGCCGTCAAATGCCACAACTTCTCCAGTAGTAGGGCGATGATCTTTCATCATTCCAAAACGCATGGCCATAGATTCAACATTGGGGCTAAAAAAACGGAAAACACTTTCTAAGAATAGATATGTGTTAATTAAAATGTGAAAAACTGTTCTTACACAAATGTAACATGGTACTGATACACTGCTTCGTTCTTGCATTTTATAACGATGTGGTTTGAGCCAATGGTAATAGGTGCTCCTTGAGTCCCAATTTTATGCAGGGGCTCACTGACATGCAAAGAATGGAAAAAAATATATTATTTCACTTAATAATTCACTTTTGTTTTGCCATGTTATATCACTCATTAACGGCCACCATTTCATAATGTTTAATCATGCATGTGTGAGTTACCCTGTGTACTCAAACATTTGACTTCATTACTCAATTTCTACTTCAATCTCCAGCCCTTTATATTATATTTAAAATATATATATATATTTATATTTAAAAAAAACTTAGAAAATATGAAAAAATAAGTCATTATCTAACAAAAACAAATGCATGAAAATGTTATGTTGTCTAGGATGAAATCCAGCAATGAGAAGAGGAAGTGGGGCTCGTCAGTTGTGCAGTTTTAAACAGGAAGTCAAAACATGAGGCATTATATAATGTGACACAATGATCTCTGCTTTGCATAGTTCCCCCCCAAAAACCAAACGTTTATGCTTCCTATAAGATAATATCAATGATTATAAGTGAAAGAACATTACATGGAGTAAGGTCACTCTTGAACAGCGGTTCACAAATTTGCATCCCAGATAGCACCACATCAAAATATTTGGCTGTCCAAATACCACATGGGGGTTCCTGATACACATCACCCACTAAGAGAAAAGATAGAAGTTGAGGCTCCTAGTCAATGATGGGAATAACGGCGTTACTTTTTTCAGTAACGAGTAGTCTAATTACTTTGACTGTCACTATAACGCCGTTATCATTGCCGACACCCCGTTAATGCACGCTACTCAAAAAAATGGAAGATTACATATCTATGCTCAAACCATTATCTGGACTTAAACATGAAACTGGCCTGAACTGGTGGTCTGTGCAGTTCATGTTTAAGGTAAGGCTCATAACACACTTTGAAATGTGGTTTTTACATACTTTTGCGTTTTGTTTGAGCAAACAACGCGGGCATGAAACATACTGCTGTAGCCAAACAAATTGTGAATAAGCTGTTCTGTAGGTCCTGTTGATTTATATGTACATCTGATTGGGGTGAAGTCAGTGCCTCACCAATCACCAACCTCACTGGTGGGTGTTTCCGCATTCAGAGTGGCAGGTGCTGGTGTTTAGTGCTTACAGAACAGAGAGAGCTGAAGAGTGAGGACTCTAGCAGCAAAACAGCCTTTTCCAGATGGAAATATCGGCACTATTTCAAACTCACTGAGGTTAAAATGTAAAAATGTGCACGTCGAGTGCACATTATGTTCCAGAACGAAACGAAAAAGTAACGCAATAGTTACTTTTACTGGTAACTAGTTACTTTCATAGTGGAGTAACTCAGTTACTTTTTGGCAGAAGTAACTATAACTTATTACTTTTTTCATAGTAAAGTGCCCAACACTGCACCTAATTCAGTCTCATTCAGGCCTAGTTGCTCTTATCCCAGTCAGAAATAACCTGGGCAGCTATAACAGTACAAGGCCACAACAAAGTCAGAGAGCCAAGTCTCAATCTATGCCAGTGTTTATCAACCTTTTTTGAGCCCAGGCACACTTGATTGAAAAAAATCTTGCGGCACACCACCAGGAGAAAATGTAAAAATATATTCTCTGTAGCATATATTCACAATAAAGTCATTTTCATCAAAGTTGTATCATTGTATTTCTCAATACAATGAGTGAACAAGAGTTTGGAAAGGAAGTGGCACTAACTGTGAAGAATATATATATTTTTTTAATCCTCTCAAAGTCAAATGACTCAGGGATCTTATATATGCAAGATAATAAAAAAATGGCCTGTTGTGTATTGTTTAATTTGTTCACAACCTTATACTTTTGTGCACAAATAACATGCATTGTTAATTCATGGGGAAAATTAAGGTATTCATTTTGTCAGTTTTAGCCTGAAAGATCAAGGCTATGCTCACACTCAGAGAGCAGCCGTCCTCCTGTGGACTCACCACCTGCAGAGGGTCAGTGAGGGGCTGGTGCTATGAGACTTGGGTGGCATCTCTGATTGCCAACCCCTGACCCAGAAATGGATTGAGGGGTAGAGAATGGATGGATGGATTTTGTCAGTTTAGGTTGTGCTTCATGTGGAAACACAGGAAAAACATGGGAAAAATACAGGATATGGTTCTGAACACGAGTCCATGGTTCTGTATGTGCATCTATTGCCCGCACTCTGTACCACGTTACGATTGTGCGTTTGCTGAGCTGTTGTCAAAGCGGATGTCAGTACAAAGCGGCCACAGCTGCCCCGGGGTCAGAGCGGAGGATGTGAATCTGGTCAGAGCGGAGGATGTGAATCCTTTACGGAAATGGAATAATTCCTTTTCAAAAACGTCTCAATCACTTTCACTTCTCACAAGCCACAATTCTCCCGCTGCATGTAACATCCGGTGGGCGCGTCCAATTCTTACATTCCAAAGTAATTAGCTATCTGCTGCCAGGTTACTGATACCCAACGGTGGATGCATTTATTTTTAGACAATGTAGGCATATTTCTCAAGGCACACCAGACAATATCATACAGCAGAGTGGTTGAAAAACACTGATTTATGCCTAGCTTAGAAAGTAAACCAGTTTTAATGCTTTCCTACGGTCTTCACTGGGTTTTAGTTGAGGTTATAATCCTAAACAAAGATGGAGCCCAAAATAAGGTCGGAATTTGCAATAAAGTAAGTAACGGAGTAACGGATATTTCTTAAACATCAGAAAATTCGCTTTTCTTAAATTTTTCAGTCCATCCTATGCACACGTGTGATAATTATTTGAAAGATAAACCATACAACACTCAAAACATTATAGAAATTATAGCCATTCCTTGCATAGAGGTGATTCACTGCAACTGATTAGTTACCGCACATCCATTCGGCCAAAAAGTTGAGCAATGTTAGTCTTCTGTGTTTCATTGCATGCAATGAGTTGCTGCACTCAATGCACCTGCTGTGCAACAATAACGCATACGCGAGTATTTGCAGATGTACACCACCACTGACCTTGCATGTCAACCTGCCGTATGGCTTGGTCTGGTGGGAACGCAGCTTTAAGGTAAGAAACGCTTCGCTACACATAAAAGTTGTAACTTTTTTTGTGGCGTCATGTCCAAAGTAAAAGTAAAGTTTGATGACTAACTGTATCCAGCCTGAACAAGAGCAACTTGAAACTGTGTTCTCACCAGTGTTGTGCGTGAACGAGTTCAAAAGAACGCGTTCATTGAACACGCTCATTTTTTGGGAACGTTGAACTGAATGCAACACATTTTTAAAAAAAGAACTTGAACGTGAATTAGTTCATTTTATGTGTCCTGAACGTTGGAATCTGTTTTCTCTTTTGAAACGCAACGAGAGAAAGTCCCTCCCTCCTGTATTCTCGCACTTTTTCCGCCGAAATCTAAAAATTCCTACGGTTTCCATCGTCTGTGAACGTACCCCAACTCTGTGGTGCGGCGCTGTGAGCTGGTGCTTTTCACATGTGCCCGAGTCGTGATGAAAACACAGGGTGAGTTTGCGACAAAGTTTACACCGTTTACATTTGACATAAAGTATAGACACACCCACTGCAGCGCATTACTGTTTGTAATATATATTATAGCTCGTAGTGTGAAAAAAGTATTTGACTATTTCACAAAAAAAATAAAATAAACCGAACTTTGAACTAGTTCAGAATTAAAATTGTGAACTTTGAACGTGAACTGTTCACTTTGAGCATGTATGAACTGAACTTGAACTAGTTCAGAAAAGTTGTGAACTGGCACAACACTGGTTCTCACCTGATGGCCTCCATTTTGAGTTCTGATTTTGCTGGCTCTGCCTCACCTTCAGACAAATTATCCAAGAGGTAAACAAATGATCAAAGTAAGTTTTAGTATAAAAATGAAGGTGACGTTGTCAAATTGCTTTCACCTGAGGGTAGTAATGGTGTTTGTGGAGGTGTTTCTGGTAAAACTGCAGGTAAAATTGGAGTAATGGGTTCTGTTCGGCCTGGTGCGTGAGAAAGAGTTGCCGGTGGTCGTCCAGCTCCAATTGGTGGCATCGCTGCTCTCCCCAGCCCCAACATCCTCTGGTGCCCAGGCACACTGCAGAATGTTCAGTGAGCGGTTATCCAAATGAAAATTAATTTTCTTCCTTTTTGATTGGACCAACCTGTTGCCTCGGCCCAGTGCTTCATGTGGTTTGCTTAGGCTTTTTGACTCACTGAAGACTGGAGAGGAGCATGATAGATTCACAGAGTCTCCCCCAAAACCTCGTCCTGAAGATTTGAAAATGAACATGTGATTAGTATTAGCTATTTAATGAATTAATTGGTCAAAATGTTTGAAAATGTCTAGTAAATTGGATAAATATGTATTTATAACTGCAGCACTTTATTATTACTCTGTCAAAACAGACCTATTGGTATGGATCCTCTTCCCAATGATAACTTTGAGGGCTCAAGCCCCATTCCTCTAAACATTGAGACAAGCGTCGAGCCCTGTCCTTGAAGGGGTATGTCCTCCTGTCACAAAAAAGTGTTTAGGAAACAAAAATCACATTTTAAGGGCACACATTTTACTTACAGTTTTTATTATCTGACGAGGTGCCTCAAGCTCTTCTACAGGTGCTGGTCTCGGTTTTGGTTGTAGAGTGGGTAAAACCGCACCTCTAGCAATACCGATCTGTGGTTCTCCAGCTGCAAAGGCCAGTCCCCTGGCTCGGCCCAGTCCTTCTTCATTGGGCTGAACCAGCAGCCCTCTGGCTCGCCCCATCAGAGGTTGACTATAACTAGCCATGGTCACTCCTTGTTGTTTGTCACTAGTGACAGGGACAGATTTGGTCTGTTCTGATATAGTTCTTTCAGCAAGAGGTAGAAGTCCTCGCCCACGTCCTGTAGCGGGCTCCATGTGCACTAAACCTCTCCCGCGCGCCAGCCAGGAAGCCCCAGGTATTCCACTGAAATCTGAGGGCTTTTTAGGGTCCATTTTTGTTCAAGAGACCACTAACAAAATAAACACAGCAGGAAAAGAGCAGAGACATGCGTTACATATGCTCAAAAGTTATCAAAAGGTGTAGAACTGTATGATAACGTCAACATTAGAGAAGGACCTTATGTCGTACATATTACATACACTGTACACTGGAACTAAGGAGCATTCCCGATAAACTGCTCTAAATGAATGGTGTATGACTCAAATCTCTGTTTCACATAACACATGAGGAAATTACTAATAATTTCACGCTGATGTAATGGCATCAAACTATGCATTTTGTTGAAGAAAAAACAATTTCACTGCAGATCAAATTAATTAATCACGGTCTACCTACAAGTGCTCGCAATAGTCTCTCATAAAAAAGACATCTTAGAAGCATCAGTGTAAAAGCTTTAGCAGAGTGTAGCATTAACCTAGCTAAAGATGCTATGTACGATTTTGAAGCACGTGTTCGACTTCTAGAGCACGATAAAAACGAGGCTCGCTATCACCTTAAAATACCGAAATAATGGCCATTTTATAGGTGTCAACACATTTGAATTTATTATTACGTATTTCATTTCTTACTGCCAAAGGCTTTTTATCAACTAGTACCTCAAAAATGCAGTAGAAAGCGCCTTCTTGTTCAGGTCCCGAGTCAAGATTCAGCCGTATTTTCCGCGTGATGCTGTTGGGGAGGGGCCACCAACACTTCTAGAATCTGATTGGACATTAGAGTGATTATCAAAAAAAAATATTGGTTATAAAAGCTGCCAGTCAACAGGTGTTTTTAGACAAGACAGAGCTTTGTTTCCCTCTAGCGGTAAAATAAATAAATACACAAACAACGTTGACAACTTTGGCAGTGTCAAGCAGAGGCTTTATCGAAAATTAGTGGACATGTTGAGTATCATACGCTTTAAAGGTGTATAGAGAGCTTGTATTTAGCATAAATATTATCTTGTACGCTTTCTAATGAACATGGCTCCTAACATGTACAGATGTAAACATACTGAAGATTGAGTTTTTATACCTGTCTTTGATGCTAAACTTAGAGATTTTGTTTTATTTTAATTAGTATACCTTTTGTTCACTTATCTTATGCTGTATGCTCCTCAATCTTACTGTTCGATAATTTGTGATGTAACACTGAAATTTCCCCACAGTGGGTAGAATAAAGGATCTTTATCTGAATACATGATTACAATTTTATCAATGTTGTATCTTCTGCTTGTGCACAATGTGAACAAGCAGCACACTCCTGGATCTTGATCCCAACAGAACTGAGGAACCTGACCTCGATCCACACTTCTAAAAACTCTGTAAAGAAGTGGCTTGTGGACAATCAGAAATGTGAACACATGGTCTAAAGTCACAATACCTTGCTGTGTGAAAATTGTGGTGTTTTGTGAATTGTCCCTCTGATCTTTTATTGGAGCTGATTTATCTATTTACCACATGTTATACACTGTTTGGTTATGTCTTTGTGATGGTGTGTCTGTGTGTTTGTGCCTATTGTACGTGTATTTTATCTGTCTTGATATCAACCTGCCATGGGACTACGGATGAAAATTTGCCTACATGGCTAACTCTGGCAAATTTACATGTTGAAAAACACGTTGATTAAGGTGCACTGTCCCAATTCAAATAAAGATTATTTTTTAAACACCACTGTAGAGCCGAAGATATTGCCTGTAGATCGCCTCTTGGCTGCTAGTGATGGGTCCAGCAACACTGATACACCGGCGCATGTGCCGAGTTCGTTTAGCGAAACCTCGTATCGGCGCGCGTGTCGCTTTATGAAAAAGCCACGTGACCAATACAGCCGCAGTGTCGCTTGTCACCGACACGGCAAACTGTGTTTAAAAGGTTCCGCATCTGCAAGTGTCACCGGTATGAACCGCTCTCAGAAAAAGAAAATAACCCTTTCAAAAAGGAAAAGCATCCCATTTTACAGCATAAAAAAATGGAACCTGCCACTAAAAGAAAGTATTCTGCAGTGTGATACTGCAAATAACAGCAAATAAGGCAATGTTTGTATTTTACATTTCACGCTTTATCTACAATCCAGCTTTAGTTTGAAACGCAAAATCTAGTTAGGCATGGTGGATGAGTGGATAGCGCTCTCGCCTCGCGTTTGAAAGAACTGGGTACTAATCCCTGTCGGACCTCAAAAGTTTATGTTGACATCACAGTCTTGAAGAATAATTTTGAGAAATTGAAGTGCAGAAAATGTCAAAGGTTTTTTCAAGTATACTTTAGTTGCCAGGGTTTACAGTGCACTTTGGACATGCTTATTGTTTTGAAAAAAAAAAAAAAAAAAAAAAATATCACTCAATGACATTTTGCTTCATGAATACATTCACAACTATCACTTTAATTTTCACATAAAATAAAATAACACAGACAATGCAGTTACGTAATATTGTGTACAGACAAGTATGTAAAGCTCATTGAATCAGTGAGTTGGATGCAATGATTTATCAGATCCACCAGGTGTCAGTATAGAGCAGCACAAGCAACACTGTTGCGACACAGTATCAACACAGTTTGTTGGATGTGCCGAAACGATACGTGAGGTTTCATTTACCCATCACTATTGGCTGCTGAGATTTTAAGGGTTTCCCAAACGCGTGTCTCCACAAACCACAGTCCAAATAATGTATTAGAGGTTTCTTTATTGGCCCCTATGACCATTAATCCAGATAAACATAATACATTCCACAGTAATTGACACGGTAATTAACAGTTTACCTCCAAACCCAGCAGCACCTGTGCCTCTGATTCTGCCTTTTTATAGGAGAATGGGCTCAGGTCACATAACGCCCACAGCGCCACCTTGTGGCTAGGGAAAGGTACATTTTGGCTCCTACAACCACAATGCTGGGACCTAAGAATGCCGTTACAGTTTATGTTATATTGATATATATTTTTTCGACTTCACTCACACCATCCTCTCACGGTTCAAAGATTTAGGAACAAGAGTTTAGACCATAGGACAATGGATTATCCCACATGCCTGTGGAAAGTTTTGCTACAACTTGCTTTGGGTCCCCTTCACCTAAATTAAAAAGTAAACTTCTTCAGCTCTGTAACTGCGTCACTCTTACGAATTTATAAATAATCAGATATGTCCCCTGATGTAGGTAAAGAAAGGCAAACACTGTGATCAGTCTGGGATTTTTGTACAGATTAAATGGAAGTGACTATCCGACACTTGTTTTTATACTAAAAAATTAATGCTGCTCGGCCACTGTAAACTATTGATAGCCCCCTCCCTTATCCAGTAAACACTGCTGATTGCTGATTTTAACATATGATATAAGACACCATTGTCCTGATGAAGGGTCTAAGGACAATGGTGATGATCCATGACACTCAGCATTCAACAACATTTATCAACGTTTACGGACATTATTAGGATTATGACTGTAGTTTGTTCATTGCTATTAAGAGTCCAACAAATAGGATGTGGTGATGATCCAGGACACTTTAACATTCTACAACATGTATGGACATTTTTCAACATGTGTTCTATATTCTTTATGTGTTTTAACTGTTGATTCTCTGATCTGTGTTGGTGATTTCAATGGTTTTGTTAAGTCTCTGAGATGACTGTTGTATAGCCCTTCTGTTGTTAGGGCTATACAAAAATAAATTGTATTGTATTGTATTGTATTGTATTGGTCATCTGCCCCTAATGGACAACTGGCTCTGTGTTTTATCATTGCGTTTCTTGTGTTTCAAAAGTCTTGTGTAAAGTCTTCTGAGATAACTACTGTTGTGAATTAGGGCTATACAAGACTAAATTGAATTGAATTGAAGATCTACTCAGATCCAATATTGCTGAATCAGAAGTTGCGCAGAATCACATTGGCTGCATCTTTTACTTTGGGATCACTTTGCTTGTATATGAATCACATACTATCTTTTATTGTTGCACCCTTGAAATTAACGATCAGATTTATGTTCTTCATTCATCAGGCAAAACTTTTGATAAAGTTGATACAGATCCGGTTCAAATTACAAACAGTTACATTTGCCATTACACCATTGATACCAAACAATGCTTCCATATGCAAACTAATAGTCTTAAAGATACATTACTCTGTTATAATATGGAAAGAATGAAATACATGTGTTATTATTGAGAAATTAGTAAACATCACATTGAATTATTTTTAGCATGTCTATTATCCTAATGAACTTATGATAGAATGATCGCGTAATTTACATTGCGCTGCATTATATTTAATAGGTTTAACAATGAACAACTAGAAACTTGCAATGGCTGAAGCCATTGCGATTGACTGCGGAACAGATCTAATGTGGAAATCTGCTAAAAAAAATCCTTGAAATCCTTTAAAAGGCCTTGAAACTGTTAAAATACTTGATAGATATTTGAAACTCCTGAAGTCCTTGAAATTGTTGAAACCTTTAAACTCCTGAAATCCTTGACACTGTTGAAACATTGAAACTCCTGAAATCCTTGAAACTTTTTTAAACCTGGAAACTGTTGAAAGTGTGGAAACTCCTGAAATCCTTGAACCTCCTGATATCCTTGAAACTGGTTAAATTCTTAAACAGTTGAAATCCTTGAAACTACTGAATGTATTGAAAGTGTCCTTGAAACTGAAAAATCCCCTCACCGCTGAAACAATTTGGTTCCTGTAACTAAGGAAACCTGGTCTGTGGTCATTATCTGGTGGTGGTCTGAGTCTTCGTTTGGGTCTTGGTCTGGTGGTATAATGCAACCTATTAGGTTGCATTATACTGGTTTACATGGAAAAATCCCTATTCGGTTGCATTATACTGGTTTACATGGAAAAATCCCTATTAAGTTGCATTATACTGGTTTACATGGAAAAATCCCCATTAAGTTGCATTATACTGGTTTACATGGAAAAATCCCTATTAAGTTGCATTGTACTGGTTTACATGGAAAAATCCCTATTAAGTTGCATTATACTGGTTTACATGGAAAAAACCCTATTAAGTTCCATTATACTGGTTTACATGTAAAAAAAACCCCTATTAAGTTGCATTATACTGGTTTACATGGAAAAATCCCCATTAAGTTGCATTATACTGGTTTACATGAAAAAAACCCTATTAAGTTGCATTATACTGGTTTACATGGAAAAATCCCTATTAAGTTGCATAATACTGGTTTACATGGAAAAATCCCTATTAAGTTGCATAATACTGGTTTACATGGAAAAATCCCCATTAAGTTGCATTATACTGGTTTACATGAAAAAAACCCTATTAAGTTGCATTATACTGGTTTACATGGAAAAATCCCTATTAAGTTGCATTGTACTGATTTACATGGAAAAATCCCTATTAAGTTGCATTATACTGGTTTACATGGAAAAAACCCTATTAAGTTGCATTATACTGGTTTACATGTAAAAACCCCTATTAAGTTGCATTATACTGGTTTACATGGAAAAATCCCCATTAAGTTGCATTATACTGGTTTACATGAAAAAAACCCTATTAAGTTGCATTATAATGGTTTACATGAAAAAACCCTATTAAGTTGCATTATACTGGTTTACATGGAAAAATCCCTATTAAGTTGCATTATACTGTTTACATGGAAAAATCCCCATTAAGTTGCATTATACTGGTTTACATGGAAAAATCCCCATTAAGTTGCATTATACTGGTTTACATGAAAAAAAACCCTATTAAGTTGCATTATACTGGTTTACATGGAAAAATCCCCATTAAGTTGCATTATACTGGTTTACATGAAAAAAACCCTATTAAGTTGCATTAGACTGGTTTACATGAAAAAACCCTATTAAGTTGCATTATACTGGTTTACATGAAAAAACCCTATTAAGTTGCATTATACTGGTTTACATGGAAAAATCCCCATTAAGTTCCATTATACTGGTTTACATGTAAAAACCCTATTAAGTTGCATTATACTGGTTTACATGGAAAAATCCCTATTAAGTTGCATTATACTGGTTTACATGGAAAAATCCCTATTAAGTTGCATTATACTGGTTTACATGAAAAAAACCCTATTAAGTTGCATTATACTGGTTTACATGGAAAAATCCCTATTAGGTTGCATTATACTGGTTTACATGGAAAAATCCCTATTAGGTTGCATGATTACACTGAAGTCCTTGAAACTGTTGAAACCTTGAAACTGTTGAAACCTTGAAACTGTTGAATTCCTTGAAACTGTTGAAGTCCTTGAAACTGTTGAAACCTTGAAACTGTTGAAACCTTGAAACTGTTGAAACCTTGAAACTGTTGAAACCTTGAAACTGTTGAAACCTTGAAACTGTTGAAACCTTGAAATTGTTGAAACCTTGAAATTGTTGAAACCTTGAAACTGTGGAAACCTTGAAACTGCTGAAGTCCTTGAAACTGTTGATGTCCTTGAAACTGCTGAAGTCCTTGAAACTGTATACCAGCCTCGGGGAGGGTCGTCGAATTATAAAGGAAGTGAGACGGAATTGGTTGGGAGAACAACCGATTTATTTTTATTTTTAGTAATCCAGTTACCTGTTTTATTTTGTATTTTTTTTTAAACTTGAGTTAACACATTTTTTACTTTTTTATTTTTTTATTTTTTTTTTTTAGTTAGAGATTTTTTAATTTAGTTTTATTGTTTTTTTTTTTTATACATTAAATTTAATTTGTTGTTGAGAGAGTCTTGGCATTTGAGCAGCAGCACCAGGCTTGAAAACAACTACTGCTGTGCTTGAGGACTTGCTGATCGCCATATGGCAAAAACACCGGCGCCAAAACACAAGTCACAAATATATTGAACCGTTTCCTCTTAACGTGCATGAAAATTAATGGGGCTGTGTTTAATGTTTTTTGCTAAACCCTGCTAAGGCTGTGTGATGAGAGCAGAGATTGTGAAAAAGCAGGTGTCTCCACTTATGCCACCTGCTCTTGAGTCGACGGACGATGATTGGAAATCCATCTGTTTGGTCCACGAGCTCATCACCGCGGCCGATGGGTTTGCCGCTGGCCATGCTCCAGACACTCCCATCGGATCTCTGACAAACACATGCAAATTAGACAAGAGAAAAGAGACAGGCGGATCCTGAGTAAAAAGCATTAGCAAACAAAAACGACAGCTTTAAAACAGTGCAGTATAATGACATAGAAATTTTGATTTTTCTCTCCGTAATTATTGTGGTTTGCTTTACAGGCCACTATAAAAAACGGGTTTTTCTTTGATCAGAATACATAGACAAATTCCACGTAGCCAGTGTGCACCAAACAACGGCAGGTCGACTGCACCAGAGACACTATTTGTTTTAGGATTATACCAACTATAAAAAGGTGTGGACTAAATAGTAACATGTTCAAACCGTTTGCAAATATTCAAGTCAATGAGGACAAATAGCGCAGTTTGTATTTTAACGGGCTCTTTAGATGTATTTTTTTACTTGTTATGTAAGGTGACAGGGAGAGTATAGAAGGGAGTCAAAGAATAAGATTTATTAAACAAAACACTGACGTATTTCAGAGCATAGTTCATTTATTACTCTGTATTAAGGACACAATGTGGATGCGGTCCATAGGTAAACGATAATAAATGAGCTTAGTAAAGTATATCCCAAAATTCTCCTCACCTGTTGCTGCGTTTTTGTTTGAAACTTGACCAGATATGCGTTCATTCCTTTCCTAAAATCTAGCGGAGGAGAGTGAATGGGTGCGGGAATTTTGACAGTGCTCAGATTCAGGCCAACGGCAGGCAGCGCTCAAACCTCGTTCTCCGAATGTAGGTTGTGAACATGCGGATCCGGACGCTCCTTTGCAGTACGGAGTGGCGTCAAAAATCTCGTCCACTTCAGACGGGTGGCCCACGTTTACTGCGGGCCAACCAGGGGGCAGCGATGAGTCAGTAATGTACGAGTGGTTCCTTTGCAGTTTTACTGGTTAATTTTAACTTTATAGATCCAACGTATTATGGAGGAGCAACTGGTATTTAAACTTTGTCTTTGGAAATTAATAATAATATACTACGAACCAAGAACCAACGTTTCTCTGTATGCACACTTCAAACACAAAGCCAATCGTAGTGCTTTCATAGTGCTTAGTAAACAAGATCAATGCAAATGATCAAAATTAAAGGATTCCGGGATGATCAGGGCCCGTTTGTATTGGTTTATGGTTTTCAATTTTAATAATTTATGTATTTTTTGACGAGTCAAGATTGGCTTTTTCTTTCTCTTGGCGGCTGTTTTGCTCGTATAATTTATGTCTACTCCTGTACAGCACTTGGAAAACTCTTGTTATGAAATGAGCAGAGTGGATTGAACTCCGAACTCACAATCTTTTGATGCATTTTACATGTATTCCGTCTGGATTTCAGTGAAATTTGCCACCCGCTGACGAGTCAAAACCCAACAGTGGTGTCATTTACAGTCTATTGACACAAACCCCGGCGCCACATATAATTAGAGAAATGTAGTCACCAGAGACCAAAACTAAAGGGCCATAGCATCAAAACGTCGCCAGCCATAGTTTGTCCTTCCACAACGGTAACACGTTTTATTGAGAACATATATGGTCTATGTTGACAAGGTACATTTTAAACTACTGCACTCATTAAACACTATTACAATAAATTAAAATCATGTTTTCTATCGTTATTTCATGTACAAAAAGCCTGTTCAATACATTCTGTTTCAGGCTCAATATGGAAAAAAATTTGAACGCGCGAAACAATAGGAAACGTTTTGTGTATTGTGGTATGGACTCCTTGTTTAGTGTGCTTATTTACAGTGCGATCTCTGTTAAAGTGATGACTTTTATTTGAAGATAGCGGGCAAAGCACGGACTTGATTGTGGTTGTTTTGATTTTAAACTGGACTGACTGAATGACCAAACGACACTACTTGCAATTACGTAAATGAATGAACGTAAATGAAATGAAGGTCCACAGCAATATTTTTGCATCTCAAAACGAAACCAGGGCTGTCAAACAAATTGGTACAAAATACGATACTTTAATAGTCAGAGTAGCTCAGGTTTGGCAAGTGAATGTTTAATACCTTTTAGGAATTTTCCATGCTGTTTAGGTCCAACTTAATTGCCTCTAGGTCAAAATGAAAAGAAAAGGAAACGGAACAAAGGGTGGGATTTATGATTTATGAGCAGAAGCTAAAGAAAGAGCTTGTCTACAAAAACTCATCTTAACTCACTACATTTATTCTAGATAAACGTGATGGGAAAATAAATGTTTTTAATGAGAATAAACTTTTAATGAAATCTAGTCCAGGACCTTGAGTCTTATTTTAATGCCTTATCTGCAGGAGTACGCCCAAGGCATTTCAACAAAGCTTCAGCTTTCTGTTTGTATCGGCTATCGCGTCAAAAGGGCAAAATGATTATGGAAAACATTTGTGCAATAGTTTATGAATTAAATCCACCGGTGCAAATGTCCTGGAGATCACAATTGTTCTGCAACCAAAATGTTTTAATGGCAGTTATCAATTAGCTTATATGACATCAGTTCTTCGTCAAAACTAAATCCAAAAACCATTTACTTTGTTGTTTTTATATCATTAGAATGTGAAATATAATAAGACTGTACAATATAAATAATATCTATAGTAAACAAGTATGAAGAGAAAAAAAATATATATCTTATCTTTGTACCGGTAACGCCCAATGGCCCACAGAGGGAGGAGTTTAATCTATTTTGTTTATTTCCAAAATATGAAAGTTACCAGCTGCAAACACAGCCTTGTAAAGAAACTTCATTTAACTTGAGGAATTACAAGACTAATTTAGGGGCAAATACTTTTGTTAGCAATACGGTTTGTAAGGCCAGGAAATGATGTCTTAGTGGGGACAATGAGTGAGTAAGTAAAAAAAAATGAGAGCCAAAGCAATTTCCAGTTTGTGACTTCCTGTTCTCACACGGAATTTCAAAAGGATTCTGGATTCTTGATATATTGTAAACATAGAAAAAAATCTCCAAAAAGTCTTGAATAACGGGGTCTCTATTATCCAAACATATTTTTCTACTTATTGCCTCCATTTTTTGTGATATGTGCTGACCTCGATGGGATGGCTGCTGTCCATAAGCGTTCCAGGTCAGCGCCCGGGTGTAGTCCGGGACACAAACTGGATCCAGATGTCGTACTCCGGGAAGCAGTGGTCCACGGCAGAGCTACTTATCCACGACGCCCAAAGCCTCGTTCGCCACAGATGGGTCCACACTCCTGCACAAAACATCAAAATTCAGAAATTAGGACCAAAAGAATAAGGTCTAGCTAGTTTACAATCTGCATATGTAAGATCACATTCCTGTCCTGTTTGAGTTTATTTTGTTTTTGTAAATACTGTCTTTAAAACTACAAAACTTGGCGTGGCGCAAAGCAGGTCAAAAACACACATTGTTCAAGAGGAGACTAATATAAAATAGCTTAACTTTGGGCTAGAATGAGGCCAAAAATTTGGGGGGCTTAAATTTGGCACATACTGACGGTGTGAGTCGTTACATAGTGACGAGGTTTCCACCACTGATGAGCGAGTTCGTGGTCCCACCCACTAGCGCCACCCACTGGCGCGCGGAGGAACAGGACAAAAGAGTTTTTAGGGTCGATTAACACGGCGGTTTCTTGTAAAACAAAGACAAAGAAAGATCGAACTTATGCAGGGCTTTTCATTCATAGAAACAACAAGCAAACACCAATTCCCATATTAATCAAAGACCGGTAGTGCTGTGTAATCCGGGGACAGGATCAACTACATGTCTGCTTCACCGCATCAAACTGTACATATTTTCTGTATCCTGGTTCATTGTTTTTTGTTCATCTATTTGCCATATACTTGTGATAGTAATAATAATTCCGTTTTATACAGCGCTTTTTGGACACTCAAAGAGCTTCACATGTCATTTTTCATTCACTCATTCATGGTGATGACAACTACTACTGTAGCCCAACTGCCCTGGGCACACTGAAGAAGCGAGGCAACCACTATGTGCCCATCGACCCTCCTACCACCACCAACCATTCACACACCACCAGGACTCATTCTCATGTGGTTTAAGTGTCTTGGTAAGGTAAGACTCGGAGAAGGTTAAACTCCTCAGAGTGTCAGTCAAGCTGCATAGGGAGTCAGTTTTCTGGGAGAAGTATGGTAACTTGAGCACTATCCTCTCCTCCTTCCTACTTTATCTGTTTAGCATTTTTAGGATTCTGACTGTAGTTTGTTCATTGCTATTCACCCGTTGTCCCATTGTCTGTTTCATGGTACGATGACGGGATCTCTGAGCCTGGCCTCTTCCATCTACACCTGCGGACTGCCCCGCCCGACCCGCCTGGGAGTGCTTCGGTCCTGCACCGGACCTGTCCACGTTCAGCGGCCACTGGTCCACGTTCTGTAGCTAGCTTAGGTCCTAGATCATTAGCCTGTCCGTCCGGAGGAGCAGATCCCTTTCTCATATGGGTCTCCCTCCCTGTGGGTTTCCCTAGTTCTCCTCCAAGGTTTCTCACGTTTTCCCACTGGGTTTTTTAAGAGTTTTTCCTTGTCGATGCAGGAGGGTCTTGTTGGACAGTTAGTGTCCAACAGAAAGGATTGGTGATGATCAGGACACTTTAGCATTCTACAACATGTATGGACATTTTCTTCTGTGTGTGCTTTATATTCTTCATGTGTTTTAACTGTTGATTCTCTGACCTGTGTTGGTGATTTCAATGGTTTTGTAAAGTCCTCTGAGATGACTTCTGTTGTGACCTAGGGCTATACAAGAATAAATTGTATTGTATTGTATTGTGTAGACTAAAGACCAGAGGAGGCCGAGCTTTGCTATGGCAGGGCCCAAACTCTGGAACGCTCTCCCTTAAGTGTTAGAGCTGCTGTGTATGTAATGCATACTGAATGTGCACATTGTTTGCCCACATATTTATACATTAACAGTTGCTATTCTTAAATATTAGTGTTTGTCAGAAGATAATCAGCTGTCTGTTCTTAGAATAAGGTGTGCAAACAGTTGCTTGTTACATACTGTATCCATACCATCTGGGACACAAACGAAACCCTGCTGTTGGTGATGTCTGACATCAAATACTATATGCATAATGTCTCATTACTTATTATAATAATAGGAATCTGATTCAAGAGCATTGCTGTTGTCATTTATTCTACTGATGTCCTTTTGAAAGAAGGAACAAGAAAAGTTCAATCCATTCTCATACAGATGTTTCTGGCCCAGTGCATGGGCAGCCCAGCTGTAGCACAGGGCTCAAGAGGTACTTTCTACATCCTGATACACATTTATTTTTACTTTTATCATCTTCACAGTCATGTTATTTAATTGTATCTGTGTGTTTGTTTAATTCTAAGTGCTGTAAATTGATAGATATAATTAATTTGAGAAATGTGTATAAGCATGTAACGTCTTTGAGTGTCCAAAAAAGCGCTATATAAAACTGATGCATTATTATTATTATTATTATAAGAGTAAATATTTTACTTTGACTTCCTTTCAAGAGGCTACTCATTCTCAGAAACAAATAATGGAAAGTCAATCATACACTTTATTTACTTCAAAATGGGGGAAAGCCACTATTTTGCCACAGTTGCCCTGTGGCGGACTATTGGAAGTAGAGGGCTGCTCTATTGGTGGCTATGACTTATCACTCTCACACAACAAGGACAGACTTGACAATGTGGATGAAGCATCTTGGCCAAGCATCAGTTTAGCATTGTGGCCCCAGGTGTTCTCTGTGATCTCCCATCACAGTACTAACCAGCCCGGTGCTGCTTAGCCTTTGAGATACAACAAGCTGCTATGGCCAATTGCTGTGCAGGGCAACACACATCCTCTGATATCTTTATCAAACCAGAACCCCCTAGTTCAGCCATTCCCAAACTCAGTAACACCGAGGCCCCCTTAAAAATCTGACGGGTCTGCGTGGCCCCCCAAAATAATAACCAAGAAGACAACATTAAGAATAGGCTCTTCTGGTTATTTTATTTTGGGGAAATAGCCTCTGCTACAAACATTGTAATACAAAAATGATTACAGTGGATTATTCAAGTCAAATAATGAACACAAATATTTTAATATTACAAACAAAACATTATAAATTTAACATTAAATAATTATATTTTTTTTTTTTTTTTTTTTATGACCTCCCGCGGCCCCCCTGCAGTACCCTCGCGGCCCACCAGGGGGCCGCGGACCCCACTTTGGGAGACACTGCCCTAGTTAAAAGGGAAGCTCAAGAGGTGGAGATAGACCTTCCCCTCAAAATGGAAATGAAACTTTTATTTCGCTTCCTAGCTGTACAGAGTATTTACTTTCCACATTCTTATAGCTCAAGCATAATTTTTTTCTGAACATGTATCATGAAATCCGTGTCTAAGGGGCAGATGATATTTGCTTGATGTCATTTCATGGCAAATGTAGTTTCTTGTGTCAGTGAGCATTGAAATCTGCTGTTGGTCAGAGAGACAGGATACAGCCTTTGATGTTTTTTTCTGAAGGTCATAAGAACTGCATGAGCCACATCGAGCCGACTTGACAAACACGCCTTTGTAAAGGGCACACATGCAACAGGACATCCACACAGACCACAGAAGGAGCAGATGTGAGATATTTTCAGGGCTGTTGGTAGGATATGTTCAGATCTGCAATGCACATGCAGGGTCATCAGGGTCATTATTATATTAATTATTCTATCCATTTACTTTTAAGGTCAAGGTACTGTTTACTCCTCTGTTAATGCCACCTGAGACCAGACACGGGGAGAAACATGTTTTTTTCCACAGGCCAGCATGGCACTGGAATTGTACCTGCCGTCTTCTTCCTGTGAGGCTTGAGCCCTATACCCAGAGCCACCATGCAATTTCTTTTACCGCCTGGACAGGGCAAACCCAGTTCATAAGAGCTATATACAGAACTATATAACTATATACAAAACCAACCAACACATTAGGTCTGTATGGGTCAGTGATGCGTTCAACACCGTCAACCCTGTGCTACTGGGTGAAAATTTGAACAAAATGGAGAGGCATTCCTCTCTAATGCAGTGGTGTGTGGATTACCTTTCCCACAGGTCAAAGATTGGGCTGTGTCTCAGAGACCATCATGAGCAGCATTGGGGCACCTCAGGGAACAGGACTTGTGCTATGTCTGTACACCATCTACATTGCAGATTTCCAGAAATGTCCACAGACATGTTCTGATGATACTGCAGTTGTTGAACTGATGAACATTCTGTTTTTAATGTATCAAAAGATCCTGAAAGCTTGTCCTAATCTCTCATTACTGACTGCAAGGAGCAGTGCATTGTGGGAGTTCCTACGGGGTGAATAAAGTTGGATCAGGGGGAATGTGGATGGACGGCTGCTCTAAGAGGAGGGGACTCCCTGGAAACATGAGTGCAGGGGTCTGTCAGGACGCCCTAACACCCTGTCCGACTGACTCTGACGACAGCAGACACCAGTGTGCTGGATGTTATGTCTGACGATGAGGCTATGATGGTGAAGATGTACTGGTAGTATTATGAAGACGTGCATTGTAAGAGTGTGCTTTTACTAACACTGCATGTAGAGAACTTTTCCACCCATGAAGTGGCACGAAGGAGGCTAGTTGGTAACTACTATTAACCTAAACCCCTACCATTGTCAAACTTGCTGGTGCAGCATCATACTGTGGGGCTGTCTATCTTTAGTAGGGGCAGAGAAAGATCCAAATAATCTCCATCTAATCTGAGCTTCATCTGTTTTGCAAAGTAGAATAGGCAAAAATTCTTAGTCTCTAGATGTGCAGATCTTGTAGAGGCATCCCCAAAACAATTTTGGGTTCCCTCTGACTATTAGACTATTTTCAAAACATACTTTTTTGAGATTTGTTTTCTTTTAGAAGAAATAGTAAAATCATCTTGCTTTCCCTTTACATTGACAGCGACTTTGTGTTGGTATTTCACCAATAAATTACAAAAAATATGTATTTTATATCCATGGTCGTCACAAGGAAGTGACGACCATAAATGCAACCTGTATAAATGTAACCGAACTTTAGAAGATCAGTGACTATGATATTGTGTTGTAAAGCTATAATTTCGCTA